GAAAAAATATAAAAAAAAACGTACCTGGGCCAAATAAGCACCAAATCCTGTTGCTACTGTCGGGGCTTCATATGCAACTCCTAACTTGTCCACATAACCGAGAAAGCTTAAGAGAAGCACATAAAAATTGCGTTCAGTGAAAGTTAAATAACAGACAACTCAATTAAAGGCATTATGAAAATGTTTCGCTTTACTATAAAACTACAAACCTAGTTACCATTTATAGTACTATACTTGTCACTACACCAATTTTTATACATTGAAACAACTCACAGGTTTCATAATTCTCAATTTCACCAGATAATGAATTAATAACTCAAATTAATAATCAATAACAAATTACACAACTATTATAGGTATATTCAACCTCAACCAGACACAGAGCACACTCACATTATTTGATGTGGATTATATAGGAAATCTCTACCGATTGATTGTTATATTGTCGAAAAACGTACACTATATTATCGCCCAGCGATATATTAAAAGTTTGATTCATAGTACACCCTACTTTCCCTGAATACATACAATATACTCATGTAAAGCAATATATATTATAGAGCAAGAATAGTCTGAAAAAATAAAATAATAAACCTTTTATCAAATGTACAGGGAAAACTTCACATTACTAATCCCTTCTTTTTTTTACCCTTTAGAAACAAATTCCCAAATGATAAAAATCCTTCCATACTTTTTTATGTATTATTCTTTACGAGATAATTCACCCCAAAATGTACATTTTATCATTATTTACTCCCCCTCAAAGATATTTTGAAGTATATCACTGAAGTAACCAGACAGTGGACGGTAGCATGGGCTCAATCTGGTTACTGACATCCTCCAAAAGAAGAAAGAAACTCATACAAGGTTTGGAACAACTTGAGGGTGAGTACATTATGTTTTTAGGTGCACTATCCCTTTAAATGAGTCATGACTCTTGTTACATGCTGACTTTCAGTGGTCTGGAAACTGCCCCACCTCTCTCCATTGCAAAATCCACCAATGACCACTGTGTTCCACAAGGGGTTCATCTTGCTGCGGCGGTTGTACATGACCCGTGTGAGCCAGGAGTGGATGGCTTTAGGGGTGTAGCTGTGTCCATCTCCAAGAAGCTCCTCATCAATCCTAAAACAAGCACTTATCAAGTTATTGCCTATTCGCGTACACTGATAATAAGCCCTAAAACTGACAAACCACTCAACTGAATCATAAACAACCGTGTGTATACTTACACCATCTGCTCAATGATATGTTTGAGGTACTGGTAGTCAGCATAGTCTCCTGAGGCCCCCAGCATGGTGGTGTTGTTGACCTTCATGAGTCGGGAGATGTTACGGAAGCGCGCCAAGGACCCGTAAGAGCCGAGCATGTCCGCAGCAATGATCACACCACCAGTGAACTTCACACCCAGCACTGACGTGCCCGTTACCATGGGGTTGCTGAAAATCATTAAACATTATGAATTAAGACAAGAGTACTGAACGGACATATACATACACTGACACTACTGTGCAAAGTTTGGGATTTTTTATGTTTTAGAAAGTCTCTTATATTTCACCAACATTACTTCAGTCTTCTGTGTCACATGATCCTTCAGAAATCATTCTAATATGCTGATTTGCTGCTCAATAAACATTTCTGATTATTATTAATGTTCAAAACACTTATTTTGATTCATATTTTGGAAAAAACTATAATAATAATAGGCATTCTTAGATGAATGGAAAGTTCACAAGAACTTAAAATTAAATAGTAAATCCAACTTGCAAACAGAAGAGTATATGTATCGACATCATTATTAATATTTTAACCTAAACATACCAACTTATAAGTACCTTAAATCCAACTGACGGCGACAACTTTCACATCTGCACATTGTAAGTTAGTTAAAGTTATCTGTTAATGTGTTCTTGCAAATTGTAAATCCCTATGCATTAACTGACTGTAGATTTTTATTTCAAATTCAAATAATTGTTTTTATTAGTTTTTTTTATTACTTTCACTTGTTTCGTTTGTCCACACTTTCGCCAAGACATTCGTAATATAATACTGTACTATATTGTATACGTCTATTAAAATAAATCAATTTAGATTTTTTGTCTATTCATTAGCATTGTTGCTAACAAGCTAACTGCACCCTGAACCATTTAATACTTTTTTAATAGATCAAGCGTGTAAAAAGAGTCGGATATAAATTATATTCAGATTATATAAAAATGTATCGAAGAAATGTTTAAAAAAATATTTGTGACAATGTTCCGGGCTAAACAGCAACTTTTCCTCCATGATGATGCAGCAGAGAAAAAGGCAAAGCGAAACCACAAACTGACCGACCGATAAGCGCCAAACTGAGCAGTCATGATGAACTTACAGTGTGTGTTTGATGGGTCCACATCCTGGAGTCGCACTGCTGTTACCCGGGAATGAATAAAACTGACCGGGTTTCGGTCCGTTCTCCCAGAAATTCAGCCTCAGTCCATTCGACTCCATGTTCAAGATTGACGGAAATGACGTTACTCACGAGTCACGCCTCTATGCGCTCCATGCCACGCGCGCTAGGCATTATGGGATGCTAGGTTGTGTTCTTTTCTTTGGTTAATGTCATTTCTTTAGGTTTAAGATGGGTCGTGCTGAGAAATCAGATAGCATAATTGATATGTGTGTAGTTCAATGAATCAATAAAAAACAATCAAATTCATATTTTGCTCATCATTAGGCTACTTGAGCAAAAGTAAGCGTATTAAAGGGATACTCCACTTTTTTGGAAATAGACTCATTTTACCACTCCCCCAGAGTTAAACAGTTGGGTTTTACCGTTTTCGTTACCGAATCCATTCAGCCGATTTTCTGATTTACTGATATTCTTCTAAATATCAGAAAATTGGCTGAATGGATTTGAAAACAGTAAAACCCAACTGTTTAACTGGGGAGTGGTAAAATGAGCCTATTTCCAAAAAAAAAGTGGAGTATCCCTTTAAAATTATATTAAAATGTATAAAACCTGAAGCATTTCAAGCTATAGATTATTTAAAATAGTATATATTTTTAAATCTATGAGTAGCCCTCACTAACCATATAGTCACCATGAAATCAAAATGGACTTTTTTTATGGAATATTGCAGTATTTATTGTAAACGATTTACCCATACATCATTATTTTTTAATGTGCCTCATAATCTTTAATAAAAATAACCTCCCCTCTCTCTAGCAGCGACATGTCTTCTCGGATGATGTGTTTACTGCAGTCTATGGTTGCAGTCACTCATCAGATTGACCAAACCATAATCATTCAGTCAAAGTCCCGCCCTTCTTTTTCTGTTGTTTGAAAAGCGTTTCACTCGGATTTAAGTCAATAGAGTGAATATTTAAATTTTTTACTTGTAGGAGGAAAGTAATTTAAAGACTAATTTAAATAAAAAGCATTGAATGGTCATGTTAACTGAGGTTGTTTCTGTTCATGGGGCGCCTCATGAACCTTCCAGCCTCACAGCGTGTAGACAGTGACATTCTGCTCAAAAACAAGCACGCCAGGACAGGTGAAATTCCGTTCAAATCAGAAAATGAAGGCCTAATGTTATATCAGCTGAGTAAACGCTGTATGATCAAACATTGTAGCAGCAGGTCATCTTTGCAAAACAAATAAAACGTTAGTTGGATACAGATGCTTTTCGTTTTGTTAATATTTAATTTAATTAATGATGATAGAATTTTATCTACAATTTTATCAATAAATTTTGACATACATGTGATAATTAATTACATTTAGATCTAATTCAGATAATAAAAAGTTTGTATAAAATAGCCTATATTTTAATGTGTTTATAGCAATTTTATTGTAGTTGCTGAATGTTGCTTAAAAGCCCTCTTGCATCTTACATTGCCACATGGTTGATGAACATAGAAAAAACAACACAAACCATTGCAATAATTAAAACAGAAAGTTCAGCAATGAAATGTGTTTGTTGGGTTCTGCTCATTGCTTCTAACATCCTGTCATCATGTTGAATATTTGTGTTAAAATGGTTTTCAATATTATTTATAACCAGAATCTTTCTATTGATGTTTGGTTCTCCTTTTTGGTAACACTTTAGAATATGGTTCCTTCGTTAATGAATAACAACCCAAGAACCAATGAGTAACACAATATTAACAATCTAGTAACTATTATTAACTAAGAAACTGATTTACGAACTAGTAGCACACAGATGAAAGTGGTAGTTCAGCTTTAACTAGGCTCTTTTTTTATAATGCTTCCCAGAGAACAACTGAAAAAGTTTATTAACAATATTAGCCTATAACTATTAACTAAAACTAGCCTATAGGCCTACTACTCATTGGTTCTTGTGTAGTTAATCATTAGGCCTATAGAACCGTTACCTCCTGTTTATTTATTTTGACTAATTACAAATTTTTAACACTCCTTATTGAAATGCATTTGTGTGCATTTTTTTAATTAATTGTACTTTAATTTTATTTTTCCACTGGTAAGCTGGTATTTGGGTCATGTAATGACTGAAAAGAATAAATTGTGAATTTTTAATGATATACCAAACAATAACAGTATGTTGTATTTATCATGAAATTGAGATGATAGGGAAAAATTGTGATATTTGATGGTTCAAAATGCTGTAAAATGTCTCAGATAGTTTTTAAATCAACTTAAATATGCTTATAATTCAAATGGTGTTATATTTATGACGAAATTTATGGCGAATAGCCTATAAACGAAATTATTGTTGACTATTGCCCTGCTATTATCTGTTTTCTTCTGTTGCTTGTTTATGTTTTTAAATTTAATAAGGTTTTAACTAAAAAAATATAGGCTACAGAATGAAAAGCAGCATTACATTTGGAATCAATACATTTGGAATGAAAAGCAGGTTTTTCCGTGAAGGCACGCTTTTGTTTCTGGAAGTAGCCCACCCGTCGCTGATGTTGTTTTGATCAGGTTGTTTTTCCCAGTATACGGTGCAGTGGGTCGCGTGGGACTCATTTACACAGAGCTTTGATATACATGCTCAATGGCTCATTATGCGCGTGTCTCATTTAGACCAAGACGCCACCATCCACACACAATGCTCGAAAGGGATTTTTCCAACTGATCAGCCAATTCAGACCATGGTGTTTACTTTATATGACACTTTGTATGCTATTATTCGTGGTTTCTGGTCAAATTAGTAAAAGTAACACAGCAGCAGCTCTCGATCCATTCCAGACGACACTGCTCTGCTCCAGCCTTTATAGTTGCTTCACGATTTTGTAACAAGCTGAGCGGCGCGCGCGGGGTGTGTGGTGTTTTACACACATATCTGTCGCGACTCGCGAGCCATGGAAAAAGGCGTTTGGAAAGTGGACATCAACTCACTTTGAAATGACTGGCTTTTGTCTTGCTTGTGCGACAAAATATAATGTTGTTGTCCCTAGAATTATGTTGTAGAATAACAACAACAATGGCACGTGCTGTGTAAACATATGCTATTGATTTCTGCGCGCGTTCCTCAGGATGGAAAATACATTGCCTTTTAATTTAGCTGTTTTTTTTTAGACGTTACGATCTTCACTGTACTCTTGATCACTGTGTTTTGATAAGGCTCATCTCCCTCAAGACTTATTTTTTCAAGCTCGAGATGAATTTCGACCAGTTGCTGGTCACAGTCGGTGGCTTTGGGAGATACCAGAAGCTTTTGTATGTGTGGATATGTTTACCGCAGATCTTTCTCGCATTCCACATGATGGCGAGCGTCTTCACGGGCGCCACGCCACCCCACTATTGTCGGGGTTCAAGGATGGACGAGGACTGGTCGTTTACTGCCTCCAATCTTTCAAATGTGAACATGAGCATCTCTCTTCTGCCGGGGCACGCGGACTCGTGCACGGTAGTTTCAGGAAAGAACCATACTGCACGCTCCAGTTGTGTGACAGGATGGCTGTACAACCAAGACATCTTCCACAGCACCACTGTCAGTGAGGTAAACACGGGTTAATGTGACGGTAAATGGGCACAATAAATATTACTTGACCAAACCAAATGTTATATCTTAATATATAGTCTAGTAAATGTGCATGCAGTTGTAATAAAATAAAACTTGTATCATTTTTTGTTAGAGTAGCCTACTATAATACGTGTAAGTCCTATTTAAGTCCCCCAGGAATAATTTTGTTCTATGTTAGCGGACATTATATTTGAGTGAAGTTCTCTAACACCATATCATGCCACAGTTTTTGTCCTGTAATAAGACAAAATGTTTGGAGGTTTCACCATGACAACAACAACTAAATCAGCATCTAATGATTATTGATTTAATTCATCCACTGTAGACATCAGAACTTAAAGCATTTGGGAGACACAACAAGTGAATAGGGAAATAAATTATATATAAATATTCATATGAAATCATTATTATAACTCCCATTATTACACTCATTTTTTGTTGCACGTTGCACCATTAACCCATCAATATGCAAATTTGATACAGTGATAATAATCTTTATACAAAGTTTGGTTAAAAAAAATCCTGAAACCTAAAAATACTAAATAAAAAAAGAAAAAAAAATCTGGGTCTCAGGAGGATTATATATATATTCTGTACACATACTGTTCAAAAGTGTGGGGTCTGTAAGTTTTTAAAAAAAATAAATGAGTTCTTTTACTCAGCAAGAATGCATTATACATTTACATTTATGCATTTGGCAGACACTTTTATCCAAAGCAATTTACATTGCATTTCAAGGTACACATTTTACATTCTTATCAGTTCTCAGTTCTTGCTTTCCCTGGGAATCGAACCCATGAACTTGTCATTGCAAGCGTCAGGAAAGCATATACACCCTATGCACATCACATGCCCCTTTTCTTCTTCCAAATTGCATATGTAACTGTAGATTTGCAAGGAAGAAACAAGTGCGAGAAAAACTCCCAGAACAAATAAAAAATAAACCAGTAATGATTTTTCATGTAGTAATATTAGGGTTTTGTGTGTTTCTTCGTGCAGTGGGATCTGGTGTGTGAGAAGGCAGGTCTGAACAGCCTGGGCTCGTCTGTCTATATGCTGGGACTGCTGGTAGGAGCTGTAGTGTTTGGAGCAATGGCAGACAGGTATACACACAAATACACTTCCTCACACTTACATGTCCGCTTTGTTCGCTCAGCCCTAAACAACCTGAGGGAAATTTGAATCATGCCCTGCTCACAGCTCTATCTCTCTTTCTTTGTTATTCATTTTTAATATCAAATACATGTTGCCTTTTATGCATTCATAGAAAGTAAACACACATCACTGTTTCCAACTTAATGGTCTGTATACTTTGTATACACTAAATAGCAGTGGTTCTCAAACCTTCTCTGAGACCTGAGCAAATGTCCAGGGGACCGCAATACGTCTTATGATTTAAATGTTGTTAACATAACCTTAATTATAATGCTACAGAAAAACACTACTAACAGCATATGTTTGAGTGTATTTGTTCTTATTACAACAGAAGTACTAGAGAGACTTCAGCTTTGGACAAAACAAGGTGGCCTTGAAGTCAACCATGTTGAGAACCATTGCTATAGGGTGAATTGAAGAAGACCTAATTTTGCTGTTTGAGAAGGCCATGAAAAAGGTCTGCAAAGCTCAAAGTCAATCAAAATGAATTATTCTCTATGACAGTGTCAATGTTTCTGAACTCCCTGAAACGCCTCCATTGTAGTCTTGAGTTTTCTTCCGGGAACAAACACCAAAATATTCCTCATTTAAATAATTTCCGCCCAAGGCAAATGGAAAACAAAGGCCTGGTTGAGTGAGTTAGTAATGTGTTGAATCTCATGGTTATGGTAAGGGGCGGGACATTTACCAATCACACTGGAAGCTGTTGACCAATCACAACACACTGTTCCAACCGACCAATCAGAGCACAGTATGCTTTTCACCCTAGAAAAAAATAAACATTGTAAAAGGGCATAATATGGCCACTTTAAGGAAAACCGTGGCATTATTTGACATTGAGATGCTCAAAAGTGCATGGCCAAATTCACTTGATTCTAATAATTTGATCAAAATATCTTCTGTATAATAAAAGAAAACACTCATCCATCCAACAACATTTCTCATCAAGTCGTTCTCATTCTTTCTCTCTCTATCTCTCTCTCTCTCTCTCTCTCTCTCTCTCTCTCTCTCTCTCTCTGTAAGGTATGGGAGGAGGTTTGCCCTGCTCTTGTCTTTAGCGCTTCAGACAGTGTTTGGTGTGGCCGCTGCCTTCGCTCCAAACTTTCCCGTTTATGTCGCCCTGCGCTTCATCATAGGAATTTCAGTGTCGGGTGTGATAATCAATGCATTTGTGCTAGGTGAGCGATGGCATGCTGGAAAAACTCTCTAGTCATTTCGAAAAAATCCATCTAATTAGTTAGCACTGATCATGCACGATTCCATCAAATAGACTTGACATAGTTGTAGATGTTCACTAATGATAGAACAAGTGTTGGACATTGTCATAATTAAGGATCTATTCTTATACAAAAGGTTAGATGTTTGATAATGCCCTTGAGCAAGACACTGATGATACTTTTAGTAAACACTACATGATTTTTTTAAGTCAAATTGTCACACCTAACTCATGCTCAATGTGACGTTGAGAATAAATGCCAAAAGTAACAAACTTGTTTCTTCTTTACCATAGACCTAAATACCCTAGACTGAGCCCTTTATACCCCAATCCCAACCTCCCCCAAACACTTGCCCTCCCTCCACAGGCACAGAGTGGACCTGCACACAGAGACGGATGCTAGCCGGCATCTTCACCGACTACTTCTTCGGCTTCGGCTACATGCTGCTGGCCGGTTTAGCCTATCTCATCAGAGACTGGAGAAAGCTGCAGCTTGCCATCTCTGCACCAGGCTTTCTCTTCATATTCTATATCTGGTGAGTGTCACAGTCTGTCGTCCTCACCTGTTTTGTCCCGTCATCTGCACCACACTTCCCCGGATCCTTTTGTTCCTCTCCCGGACTCACTTCCCCAATCAGCCACCTGTTCCTCGTCCTGTCATGATCATTTTCACCTGTGTTCACCCCAATCAGCCTTATTCCTCTGTGTATTTAGTTCAGTTCTGTTTGATTCTGTTTTGTCGGTCAATGTTCAATGTTACGCCGTGTTTCCTGTCTTCCTGCCTGTCTTTTAAGATTAAACCTATGTTCCTCGTGATTTTGGATTCCGCTCCTTCTTCAACCCGCACCCGCACCGTGACAGATTGACCGACCCAAAAGAAAAAAGAAGAAGAAAGAATGGACATTCCGGCCGTGGCTCTTCTCTGCCTTGATCAAGAAGACCGTTCCCTGGAATCCCATACTAGGGATTTTCTGGAGTTGGCGTGCCTCACTCACTATTCTGACCGCTCGCTGAGTGAGTTCTACATCGCCAGCCTCAGCGAGCGGTCCCGGGCACGCCTCCCAGGGAACGGTCCAGATGATTTCGCCGCCTGTGTGGAGTGGGTGCTGGTGTGCTGTGAGTCTCCATTCACGGTGGAGGAAGTCACCAGCACCCCTCCAAAGCTCGAGCTCTCCTCTTCGCTGGTTCCGCCCAGCCTCGCCGAGCCCGAGATCTCTTCGCTGGTTCCGTCCAGCCCCGTCCAGCCAGCCCCAGAGACCGTCCAGCCAGCGCCGGAGACCGTCCAGCCAGCGCCGGAGACCGTCCAGCCAGCGCCAGAGACCGTCCAGCCAGCGCCGGAGACCGTCCAGCCTGCGCCAGAGACCGTCCAGCCTGCGCCAGAGACCGTCCAGCCAGAGCCCGAGACCGTCCAGCCAGAGCCCGAGACCGTCCAGCCAGAGGCCGAGACCGTCCAGCCAGAGGCCGAGACCGTCCAGCCAGAGGCCGAGACCGTCCAGCCAGAGGCCGAGACCGTCCAGCCAGAGGCCGAGACCGTCCAGCCAGAGCCCGAGACCGTCCAGCCAGAGCCCGAGACCGTCCAGCCAGAGCCCGAGACCGTCCAGCCAGAGCCCGAGACCGTCCAGCCAGAGCCCGAGACCGTCCAGCCAGAGCCCGAGACCGTCCAGCCAGAGGCCGAGACCGTCCAGCCAGAGGCCGAGACCGTCCAGCCAGAGCCCGAGACCGTCCAGCCAGAGCCCGAGACCGTCCAGCCAGAGCCCGAGACCGTTCAGCCAGAGGCCGAGACCAGGATCCCACCCAGCCTCCCTCTCCCGCCTCCTCTCATCTGTCCTCCCTCTGCTCTCCTGCCCTTCAGCTCCCCTGACCCAGCCTGGTCCTTGGATCCCCGGTCTTCGCTTCACAACTCCTCCATCTGGACACTTCCTCGGCCCCCGGTCCCATTGGCTCCCCCGTGGCTCCTACCTCCCTCAGCTCCTCCATGGCCCCTCAGTCCACCAGCTCGGCCAGGCTCCCTCGACCCTCCGGACTCCCTTCGCTCCCTCGTCGTCCTCCCTTCCCCTTTGGACTTCATTCCTCTGGCTCCGCCCCGTCATATCACCCCCCCGGTTCTGTCGGACTCCTCACTCCCTCCAGTCACCCGTCAGCCCTCATGCCCTCTGACCTCACTGTGTCCCTCCGTGCCCCTGTCATCACTTCGATCACCAGAGCCTACGGTATCACCATGTTCCCTCAGTCCCTCATCAGCACCACTTGTCGTCAGTCACTCAGCTACACCCTGGTCTCCTCTCCCATCCGCTCCACCCCTGTCAGTCGGCCCCCTGGTGTTGTCAGCCCCACTACCATCGGCTCCACCAGGGGTCCTCCCTCCAGCTGCTCCGCCCTGGTCTCGCCCTCATCATGCTCCGCCCTGGTCTCGCCCTCAGCCTGCTCCGCCCTGGCCACGCCCTCAGCCTGCTTTGCCCTGGGGACGCCCTCAGCCTGCTCCGCCCTGGTCTCGCCCTCAGCCTGCTCCGCCCTGGCCACGCCCTCAGCCTGCTTTGCCCTGGGGACGCCCTCAGCCTGCTCCGCCCTGGCCACGCCCTCAGCCTGCTCCGCCCTGGCCTCGCCCTCATCCTGCTCCGCCCTGGGGGGCTGTCTCCTCCGGACGACGCCCTCCACAGCCTCCAGGGTGCCCACCCCCCCCTCCCCTTGATGTTATGGCGTGAGGCCACGCCTTCCGGGAGGGGGGAGTAATGTCACAGTCTGTCGTCCTCACCTGTTTTGTCCCGTCATCTGCACCACACTTCCCCGGATCCTTTTGTTCCTCTCCCGGACTCACTTCCCCAATCAGCCACCTGTTCCTCGTCCTGTCATGATCATTTTCACCTGTGTTCACCCCAATCAGCCTTATTCCTCTGTGTATTTAGTTCAGTTCTGTTTGATTCTGTTTTGTCGGTCAATGTTCAATGTTACGCCGTGTTTCCTGTCTTCCTGCCTGTCTTTTAAGATTAAACCTATGTTCCTCGTGATTTTGGATTCCGCTCCTTCTTCAACCCGCACCCGCACCGTGACAGTGAGACAACAGAGAAGTATTAATCAAGTAAACAAGTGAATATCAAATAACTTCATTTTAGGGCTGTCAAATCGATTAAACGAGATTAATGGCATCTTACAGAAAAAAATAAATATATAATATATGTGTATATATATATATATATATATATATATATATATATATATATATACGTATATAGAGAGAGAGAGAGAGAGAGAGAGAGAGAGTGAGAGAGAGAGTATATATATATATATATGAGAGAGAGAGAGATCCACAAACTTTTATATTTGATGTGATTAATCAATTTGACAGCACTACTTAATTTGATATTTTTGGGGGTCTCTTATGTTCACCCAGGCTGAATAATAATACAGAAAAAAATGTAATATTGGGAAATTTTGTTACAATTTAAAATGTCTGTTTTATATTAGAATATACACTCACCTAAAGGATTATTAGGAACACCACACTAATACTGTGTTTGACCCCCTTTCGCCTTCAGAACTGCCTTAATTCTACGTGGCATTGATTCAACAAAGTGCTGAAAGCATTCTTTAGAAATGTTGGCCCATATTGATAGGATAGCATCTTGCAGTTGATGGAGATTTGTGGGATGCACATCCAGGGCACGAAGTTCTCGTTCCACCACATCCCAAAGATGCTCTATTGGGTTGAGATCTGGTGACTGCGGGGGCCATTTTAGTACAGTGAACTCATTGTCATGTTCAAGAAACCAATTTGAAATGATTCGAGCTTTGTGACATGGTGCATTATTCTGCTGGAAGTAGCCATCAGAGGATGAGTACATGGTGACCATAGAGGGATGGACACGGTCAGAAACAATGCTCAGGTAGTCCGTGGCATTTAAACGATGCCCAATTGGCACTAAGGGGCCTAAAGTGTGCCTAAAGAAAACATCCCCCACACCATTACACCACCACCACCAGCCTGCACAGTGGTAACAAGGCATGATGGATCCATGTTCTCATTCTGTTTACGACAAATTTTGACTCTACCATCTTAATGACTCAACAGAAATCGAGACTCATCAGACCAGGGAACATTTTTCCAGTCTTTAACTGTCCAATTTTGGTGAGCTCTTGCAAATTATAGCCTCTTTTTCCTATTTGTAGAGTGGTACCCGGTGGGGTCTTCTGCTGTTGTAGCCCATCCGCCTCAAGGTTGTGCGTGTTGTGCCTTCACAAATGCTTTGCTGCATACCTCGGTTGTAACGAGTGGTTATTTCAGTCAAAGTAGCTCTTCTATCAGCTTGAATCAGCCCATTCTCCTCTGACCTCTAGCATCAACAAGGCATTTTCGCCCGCAGGACTGCCACATACTGGATGTTTTTCCCTTTTCACACCATTCTTTGTAAACCCTAGAAATGGTTGTGTGTGAAAATCCCAGTAACTGAGCAGATTGTGAAATACTCAAACCGGCCCGTCTGGCACCAACAACCATGCCATGCTCAAAATTGCTTAAATCACCTTTCTTTCCCATTCTGACATTCAGTTTGGAGTTCAGGAGATTGTTTTGACCAGAACCACACCCCTAAATGTATTGAAGCAACTGCCATGTGATTGGTTGATTAGATAATTGCATTAATGAGAAATTGAACAGGTGTTCCTAATAATCCTTTAGGTGAGTGTATGTTCAAATGTCATTTATTCCTGTAATCAAAGCTGCATTTTCAGCATCATTACTCCAGTCCTCAGTGTCACATGATCCTTCAGAAATTATTCTAATATGCTGATTTGGTTATTTATTAATTTGATCAATGTTGGTAAATTGTTTTTTATCTTGTCTGAACTTTTGTGTAGCCTATAGACCCCTTTTGCGCCGACGTCACAGTTAAGTCACGGGGCTAGCTGGAGGCAAAACAAAGTGAAAACTGGAGGCGGCCAATGCAAACCAGCACAGATTCGGCTACATAATAAACTTGTATTATTTTTAAATGTCATCTTATTGTGTTGTTTGGTGCAAGTATCAATGAAAAATGAATATGCTGTATCTGGATTTTTTATTTCTTGAAAATATTCACATGATTAAAATCGCACCGTAATGGCAGTCTTTACATTGTCGTCTTCTCTGCCCTGGCTCGGCAGAACTGTGGATCATACACACATGTCTTGTACAGGACCATTCAGCACATAGTTATAGGCATCAAAAGATTTGTATGCCCTCAGTTTCTCTTTACGATCGGTTTCTCTATAGACCATTTCACAAGATGTAAACAACACTGGTCCAGAAGCACTTCCTGTTTCAGTTTTTTAACACTACATAAAAGCTGGGATAAAATACAACCAACAGAACATTTCAAACTGAATCAAAAAGTTAAACAAACATCTTTAAGATGTTTTCTTTACCTGTGAAATAAAGAAAACAGTTACAAACTGAAACAGGAAGTGCTTCTGGACCAGTGTTGTTTACATCTTGTGAAATGGTCTATACGGTAGGTGTAGAAGTCAGGCCACTCACCCGAAGTAACGTAACGTTATCCTGTCAGATCGTCCATGCATCGAGTGAGCGTGTAGGCAGCTACGGGTCGGCCAATCTGGTTCTGTCCGTTAAAAATAATTTTTGGAAATAACAATCGCGGTCCTGGAGAGTGAGTGACCTTACACATTAAGATAAAATCTTATTTTCTCCAGTCATTGTTAAAAAATAAGCTAATAAAACTTGCTAACTAGCGTTAGTGAAGCGGCCAGAGGGATCGTTCTGCCTCCACCTAAGCTCCGCCCACAAAAAAACGTCACCATGTTTACCAACTGTAAAAGGGTCTATTATATGAAGTTATTGTAACTTTATTTAGACATTACATTTTTTTTAAATAAGTTTTATATTTTTACTGGATTTAAGCTTTAAATAAAAGTGTAATAATATAATAATACTAAAATAATTCATTTAAAGCATTGATTGTGTAATTTGTATATGTATCTGACATTACACAACATTACACAATTTCCTCGTAAATGAGTACATAAAAAGACTCTTTTACTTTCTATCACTCTTATATTACTTGACTTCCTTCCTCTCCTTTTATTGTTCTGACAACGTAAATCTCTCCTCTCCTCCTCTTTCTCAGGGTTCTTCCACAATCAGCCCGTTGGCTGCTGGTGAATAACCGAAAGGAAGAGGCGATTGATCTCCTGCGTAAGGCGGCTGCCGTCAATGGCCGTACCTTACCTCCCTGTGTTCAGGTGCCACACACTTTCCCATGGACTTGCTTTCACTCTTTCTAGCTTTTTTTCCGTCACGCCTCTGGCACAATCTTCAAATCCCATAAAAACTCTTAATAGCTCTGTTAGCATCACCATGACAACAACCATCCCCCACCCTAGGAAACCAAAGAGCCTTTGTCTGGGAAGTGCTAGTCTGAAGCTTTGGTTCACAACACCAGGGCAACAAGTAGATGACTTTCACATCATCAGATTATCAAGTGCATTTACAAAGCTTTCTCCCATCGCCCCCAATATGTGTCTATAAATGTTTGGTTTTGGAAACAGGATGTTTTTATAGCGTTTGCTTCAATGCATCTGTTTTCACAGGTGGAGCAATATGAGGGCCCGCAAGGACGCAGTCAATATACAGCTGTCGACCTGCTCCGAACTCCCGAGATGAGGAGGAGAACGCTCATACTCTTCTACATCTGGTGAGATGTAGATGTATAGTTTCAATAAATTACACATTTCTTCAACTTCAGGTACTTTTATGGTAAATGGACTGCATTTATATAGCGCTTTCTCAGACCCAATGGCCACCAAAGTGCTTTACATATTGTCTCACATTCACACATTCACCCATTCACTCATTCGTACATTAATTTTATATCATTTAAATATTTTTATTAGTTCTGGGCAACGATTAATTGCTAAACATATTTAGATATACAGGAAATTGCAATGGAAGACGATTTCGATATATCAACAGACAACGTTGTTTTTTTTTCCGCAACCGTGAGAGAGATCACTTCCGGTGCTTTTCAGCGATTGCGCAGATCGAAACGCCCGTGCCTTCAGATCACTTGGACGTGCCTGTGGTTACAAGAAGTAAAAACTATATAAATACTGTTCGTTTTCTCACACAAACTGGTCGTTTCGTGTCTTAGGCCATCAATGTGTACTTACATTTACGAGTCATTAAATCATGTTTAATTTGGACAAGAACGGTTTGACCTAAAATTATCAAAATTTAAACTACTGTGGAAACAAAGACACCTACATCTTGGATGCCCTTGAGGTAAGCTAAAACATACCAAAAATTAATTTCAACGTGAACTATCCCTTTAAGGGTTTATTTTGTAAAAGTCCACACGCCCGTAGCTGAAGAAGCCCCCACAATCTCTATTGTGTGCAGTGTATCAGTGTATATGTACAGTTTTCAGTGTTTGAAATCATGCCATTCACACACACATACAGGTCTCCCTTAATTTACTTGTTGTCTCTGTTTTTCAAGGTTTGTTAATGTGTTGGTGTATTATGGTCTGTCTCTGGGTGTGTCTGACCTTGGATCAGACCTTTACCTCACTCAGTTCATGTTTGGATTGGTGGAAATTCCCGCAAGGTCACTGGTGTTGGTTCTCCTGCCCTGCAGTCGACGAATCCCGCTGAGTGTGTTCCTGGCTGTGGGAGGCGGTGCATGTCTGCTTACCCTCACTGTCCCAGCAGGTGACCAGTCAAACATGCCCAGAGACACTTTTCTAGTCCTTTTACTGTGCTAAAGGACAGAGTGTAGTATTTTCTTGCGCTATTGTGGCCTTTCCTACTCTCATTTCCATCATTTTCTTTTCACACTCTTTCTCTCAGACAGTGCTCATATCCGAACTGGTTTGGCCATGGTGGGGAAATTTGGAATTACAGCATCTTTTGCCATCATCTATATTTATTCTGCAGAACTTTTTCCAACTGTTCTCAGGTACTCGCATTCGCATCATATGTGGATATTAAAAAGTCTATACACCCCTGTTAAAGATACGTTTTTTGTGAAAATAAACAAAGATAAATCATATCACACCTTTTGCACTTTTAATGTAAAAATTACAACCTATGCAATGCTACTGAAAAAGTGACACAATTCAGATAAAAATTAAAACTTGAATGAGCTTAACTGCAAAAGTGTGTACACCCTTTTATAATTGGTATGTGGGTGTGTTCAACATGAACTAATCATCAAGCTTGTGTGAAAAAGTACACAGTGACAGAAAAAAACTGCTTTTTGTATTTTGTTTAATGCATTGTGGCTTGACTTTCTATTTCTTTTATAGGGGTCATTTACAGGTTCATCATTTGTTTACTGAATACATTTGCATAATTTAATGTTACCTATTTTTCATTAGTTTATATTGTTGCAGCACCTGTTTTCATCATCTGAACGCTCTGTTTTAGGGTCCGTTTCATGCGTTTTGTCCATTCATTTACACAACAACAGCATTTTGGCTGCTTGAAAATAGGTTTCAGAGAACAAGTTTTTGAAATCGATAGTTATCATCCCCATGTAAACAAAAAAACGTGACATCATGCTCATGTGTATTAAGGGGTGGTGATGACGCAGTGGATAAGACACATGCCTTTGGTGTGAGAGACCTGGATTCGAATCCACTGTGAGACACCAATGTGTCCTTGAGAAAGACACTTACAGAAGTGTGCGATCTCTGACATAAGTCAGTTTGGATAAAAGCATCAGCTAAATGAATAAATGTAAATGTACATGTCCAGTCTATAGGGGCATTGGGTTTCTTTCATTGTGTTCACACTTTCAGAAAAAGCACACTATGCCCCTTACCATAACCGGCGAGTGTTACTGCCTAGAGGCGCTGTAAACATTGACATGTCTATGGCTATAAACACTCTTGTTTCTTTCTAAACATATGTGCTTTGAGACAATGTGCATTATGAAAGCACTGTACAGATAAATATGACTATATATCACAAATCAGCCTCTGGGTAGTGAAGAGCTGCTTGCTATTGTCAAACAATACGTGGAAATAATTTCTAATATGCCTTTTGTGTCTACAGGCAAACAGGTATTGGCGTTTCCTCGATGTTCGCACGGATGGGTGGAGTTTTAGCGCCACTAATAAACCTGCTTGGACGCCACACACCTGTTGTGCCGATGGTGATATTTGGCTCCACCCCTCTGCTTGCTGCAGTGTTTGCCTTAGCACTGCCTGAGACTGCCAATCAACCACTACCAGACAGCATTTATGATACAGAGAAGTACACAATAACTTGGACAGTTCACCCAAAAATGAAAGCTCTTTAACCCTGCTAACACACCTCTCAAATAGTTTCTCCTCTTTTTCCTCCTTTAGATCTTCTCTGAAATATGACGGACAAATTCCTGTCCTTACCAGCCAATCACCAAGCAGCACAGAAGGACAGGAACTGCAGAGTTTAGCAGATGAGTCCAGATAGGCATACATGATCACACACAAACTCTATGCAGAACCTCTTTATATTGTTTTTCTTTATCAGTCACGATGACGCTAATGGGTAAGGTTTTGATACGTTTTATACGTTTATATTTTCTGGAATGGCTGTTGGTTGTGTATTTAACTGAATTACATTAGGACTAGCAGTTTTAATCAAACTAAAGTGTAAAATGTAAAACATGGATCAGTGAAAGCAATGCGATTGGTGCGTCACTTCTCTCTATCCACCATCTGGCCTCTCTATGCAAAACAGATATGCTTAGAACAAACATTTGTGAATGAGAAAGCTTAATTAAATACGTTCAGTTCGGTTTTAACAGATAATCATATTTAATATGTGAATTATTTCTTCTGTTAAAAGGACCAAAAATATTGATTTTTGTCCAATCAGAAGCTCTTTATAATGAGAATGTCCCTCCCAGCAGCACCACTGGCAACTGACTAGCAACTTTGGTCTAGTGGAGAGAAAACCAGTGCCTTCTTTGTAATGTAGTCCTTTATATGTGTCCAGTGTTTGGGAATTACACCATATTTGTCTTATGTGGGCTTGCATTTAGTTTAGCTTGAGATGACAATCCCCAAAGCTGTTTGAAATTGTTTTATTAGCATGTTGGTATCCTGAACAGTCTCAGTAGCTACAGGGAAAAGCATCTTGTTTAGTGCTGTTTTGTCTGCATGTAGTTTTTCTATTGATTTTAGTGAAAAGACTGTCATCATACGCACAATTAAAGTGGTTTAATGTCAGTGTGGGATTGATATGCCATGCTTTCCAACTTTGCTTGAGCCAATGATACATACACTCGTGCAACCAGACGTCAATCTCAGCCATACACTGCCAAATGACAGTCTAATTTTTAACTTTAAATACTGACATTAACATTTTAAAAACAGGGAATTGTAGTTTTATTGCATGACATTCTTTGATGGAAATGAACTTTTTTATTATAGGCCTAATGCAATTTATCTAATGTTGACAGATCAGATCTCAAAGGGATAGTTCCACCGACATATACAAAACTGTCATGATGTGTCCTATAATAATTACGTGTTATGGACAGTCATGCGGAAACACTGTTCATTTGTACACACAGTTTTCGTTTCAGCGTTTGATGAGGAAAAAATGTCAAATGGTGACAGAAAACATGTCAATTGGAGTTAAGAAGAGACTCATTCGTACCTATTATTCATCTTATTTTCCGAAAAAGTTAATTTAGGAAAAACTTGATAGTACCCTCGGTACAACCTGAATAACCTGGGATTTAGAATAACCTGGGGTTATCCCTAATCTCAGACTAAAATGCATGTTTTGCAAAATGCAAATGCTGTTTTGTCTCAGGATGCACATCAATAGAACTATCCCTTTAACCAAAACATTTTACACATCACCGCATGATTATTAGGATCTTAAGGCTTACTCTGTTATGAGATGTTAATTGATTTGGTCCTCTTGTGAAAGGCAAGGTCTTGAAATGTGAGGAAATGAAAACACGCTGAGATGAGATGACAATAAAGCAATGAGCGTCTAATGAAACTGTAATATAGGCCTGCTAGTTGCTGATCATTGCCTGTGGACAATTATGAGCGAGTGTTAATTTTGCTGCATGATGCAAGTCTTAATGTGATTTTACAATGAAAAAGAAGTTTGTTATGAAGACTTTCTTTGTATTGGCATTCTGACTGAAACACAATAAAACTGTGATCAGTTGTCCAGGAGCCAAGATCAGATAAAATCAATGAAAGCAATTCTGCTGTTGTGTGATTTTCTTCTTTAGGATGTACATGTATATGTGTATTAGGCTAATGTGACGTAAGTAGCATCAGTGGCCACACCACAGTTGTTGTCTTTCATGGACATCAGTACATAGCCATCATTGCCCCAGTAAGTGGACCAGGAGTTCTTCACTAGCCAGTAGGGTTCGTTATCCAATATCCCATAACCGACTGCTAGCACAGCATGATCCAAGTCATCGACCCCGTTTTCTGTGGATATAGAAAAATTAAACATGAAATGTTGGTTACTATAGAGAAGAGTACTATATACTTGATTTAAAGCAATCTGTAAGACATTTCAATGTTCAAAATAGTATGCATGAGTATGTACATGAAAATGAAATATAAACTGCGTAATATTATCATATTTGTATTTTAGGATGAACAAGGGAAACAAAAACGACTGCAGTATACAGGCAATAATGACATATAATAGGAAATGTACCATTTTCCAATAATTTCCAGCTGCAAAATGTTATTATTTAATAAAATAATAAAAAAACTAAAATATATAAAACCATTTTGCAGATGGATACGTAAATGTATTATTGTTATTTATGTATAATTATATGTAGTTAATATAAACATACATGTACCAAACAGATAGAAGCATGTAAATATTTAGTTTTTAATTATGAATATTTGTAGTATAAACATTATACATGTACCGAAAAAAGATAGAAGCATGCAAATATTTTGTATTTAATTATGAACATATGTAGTTAATATAAACATTAGTATACAGATTTTCCAAAATGTTTCCATCTGCAAAATTGTATTTTCTTTATAACCTAGTTTAACAATAAATTAATAAGGAACTATTTCATATATATAACCACTTTGGAGATGGAAAAAAATCCCTATTGTTTATGGTTATTAATTATGTATATGAAAATGTTGTTTATATACATATTTCAGCAAAATGTTTTAATTAAAAAAGTATATATATATATATATATATATATATATATATATACACACACACACATACATTATTAAAGCATTTTGTGTGTGTGTGTGTGTATATATATATATATATACACACACAAAATGTTTTAATAATATATATATATATATATATATATATACACACACACATTTTTTTTATAAAATATATATACATATTTTTTATTAAAAATATATATTATATATTTATATATTTATATATATATATATATATATATATGTCATACATTACACTGAAAATCTGAAATAACATTTTGCAGATAGAATTTTTTTTAAATTACTATGTATATCAATAATATATATATATATATATATATATATATATATATATATATATATACACACACACACATACATGCATACATACATACAGTACATATAAGTACATATGTGTGTGTGTGTGTGTGTGTGTGTGTGTGTGTGTGTGTGTGTGTGTGTGTGTGTGTGTGTGTGTGTGTGTGTGTGTGTGTGTGTGTGTGTGTGTGTGCAATAAGTGTAAGGTTTTAAGTTAGTGAGGCAGATTGTGTGAAGACTCACTGCAGGCCGGTTCGTAGTAAACTCCATTGCTGTAGAAGGAGAAGGAACGGTGAGCAGCGTCGATGCTGACCGCTACAGGACCGAACTTAAAGATAGCGACCTTCAGTGCCTCAATATCACCACTGGTCACATTAGTGTAACCCCTCAACTGTGCCACCATGGAGGACTTATCGTAATGACACAAACCATTCTGAAACACACACAGTCATCTGATTAGTGACTCTTTTAACCATCTGTATCTGATGGACCGAAATCTTAATTTCTACTTTCTAGAAAGTAAATTATAATAGGTGGCATTTTTCATGCAATCAGGGAATATTGTTTCCCATCATAGAGGTCAATTATAACCGAAACCACTGAATCAGCCAGAAACGTTTGTGCCAGGTGGAGATGTGTGTGTGGTGAATGTACACACACCATGCCCATATATCCTCCATAGCTCTCAGCCGTTGAAATGCCACCATGCTTCATGATCCACTCAAAAGCTCTCCACTCCTCTCCTCCATCACAACCATTATTCCCGAATCCCCATGTGCAGTCAACCAGCATCTGCTGGGACAGTGATGTCAGCTGTCCAGTCTAACAGAGAGGGAAAGACAAGGACTAGTTTAGTGAGGTAAACAACTCCATTTAGTTGGACATTGCAAAGATAAGATGAAAGAAATTCATACAGGTTTGGAACAATTTGAGGATGTGTAAATTATTATTTTTTATATTTTCTTTAAAGGAGTAGTTCACTTTTTAAAAAAAAACTTTTGCTAATAATTTACTCACCCCCATGTCATCCAAGATGTCCATGTCTTTCTTTCTTCAGTCGAAAAGAAATTAAGGTTTTTGATGAAAACATTCCAGGATTTTCTCCATTTAATGGACTTCAATAGGAATCAAACGGTTCAAGGTCCTAATGAGTTTCAGTGCAAACTGCAAACTGTTCAAAGGGCTTTAAACCACACCAGACGACGAATAAGGGTCTTATCTAGATCGAAACGATCGGTCATTTAAAACATAAATAAAAAAAGTTTAAGTTTCATAAGCTCAAATGCTCGTCTTGCTCTGTTCTGTGATGCGCATTCATGACTCTCCTGTTCGAACTCGTTCATCAAATTGAATGAATCTTTTTTTCCAAGTCATTTGGTTCATTAAACGAACTAAATGAATGAAATGACTCGAAAAAAGATTCGTTCATTTTGATGAACGAGTTCGAACAGAAGAGTCACGAATGCGCATCACAGAACAGAGCAAGGTGAGCATTTGAGCTTATAAAACTTTTTTAAAAATTATTTTTTTAAATAAGCGATCGTTTCGCTAGATAAGACGATTATTCATCGTCTGGTGTCGTTTAAAGCCCTTTGAACAGTTTGCAGTTTGCACTGAAACTATCATTTGGACCTTGAACTGTTTGGTTCCCATTGAAGTCCATTATATGGAGAAAATCTTGGAATGTTTTCATCAAAAGCCTTAATTTCTTTTCGACTGAAGAAAGAAAGACATGGACATCTTGGGTGATATGGGGGTGAGTAAATTATCAGCAAAAGTTTTTTTTTAAATGTGAACTACTCCTTTAATGTCCATGCCCTCTCTTAGAAGATAAGGTGGATATGGAGTCTGGAGTTGGAGGTGTAGATTTACCTTCAGGAAAAGAGCTCCCTCTAGTGTTCCAGTGGAGGCAAAACTCCAGCAGGATCCACACACTGCCTGGTCTTTCACAGGCGTCACAGCACCTGGAAATACATCAGAGTATATCAGAGGCTGTGTATCACTCCTGCAACACTAAACATGCATAGAAAGATTCTGACTTCACATTCAACTCAACAAATACGAATTACACACCATGCAGCCTCCAGTCTATTGAATCAGGGGTGGCTATAGAGCGCATCTCAGAGGGAAAAGCCTGAGCCTTTCTGTGACCGTGAGACCTTTTACAGCCTCTCATCATGGCCAGCTCTTCCTGAGACCGATCCGCCAGGTGATTCACAGAGAGGGAGAATGAAAGACCAGCTCTGTTCATAGAGTGCACATACCTGAAGAAGAAAAGGATGTAAAACTCAGATCATTTTCATCATGTAATTGTATAGTTTATTATGGCTCCATATTCTGATTTGTTTCTAGAAAGTTGACATGTCTATGTACTGTTACCCCAAAAATGTCATAAACGATACACACTCTTTATTCTAAATTATATCTATTTTACTTGTAATGTTTTCTGTTTAAAGTTTCCTTGTTACAGGTTACATGTAGTATTAACTATATTATGCATAATTGGCTTTATGCACAGCTCCACTACTTCCTGAACTTCAGCCAGCTCCTTGTTTCCTGTCTTCCATTATTGGACAAACTGATTAATCCAGGTGTGTCTGACCTCAGTAGTCACAACAATAATCAGGCACACCTGTATTAATCGAGTTTGTCCAATAATGGGCGACAGAACACAAGGAGGAAGGAGCTGGCTGAAGTTCAGGAAGTACTGTAGTGCAGCTGTGCATAAAGCCGATTGCATGCAACTAACTCTAAATCAAACCCCTATCTTAACCCTAAAACTAAAGTAAGTACATGTAGTTATTATTACTAAGTGCTTAAATGTATGTTTGATTACACTGAAACACGGACACCTTATAATAAAGTGCAACCAAAAAAAACTAAATGATGTAAGACCATTTTAAAAGGCTAGTTACCACAAATACCCTCGTATAATATACCACTTAAACTAGCCTTTCTAAAAATGCCAATCACTATACTATTGTCATAATAATAATGCTAGTAATGCAACCAAAACAAAGCTACCATATGGCATCAGATTAAAAAATTGAAATAATAATTCTCCCAAAAATGTGCCTTAAATATTTTTAATTTTACATACATTTTAATATTATTATTATCAGGTCATGCTGTTTCGTGAATGTAATCATGGTGTAGTGCCTAACAACTTTTATAGCATGTTGTTTAATAAAAACAGATTTGCAATAAAATAATTGGGGTCTTTTTTCCTCAACTTTATTACAAATCACCAAATCTCTAGGAATATTTGTTGTTGTTTTCCCTCACCGAATATTGTGTACAAAGTGATGCTCGCGCTCCTCGTGCTCCTTCTCGCTTTCATACTGACGCTCAAACTTCTCCTTAAAGTGACCGAACATACGGTGGGCGTGGCCAACGGGAGAGGTGTGGACCAGGTCTTTAATGGGGTTGGCCAATAAATGATGCTCCACACCAGGACCAGGAAAGTCACCACAGGTCATTCCTAAACACAAGAGTGAGCATTTGCTTAGATGATCTGTAAGTGGCAGAAACAATGAATGTCTGTTCTACAATTACCTCCTGGTAGTTTGAAAATCTCAGACTCAGTTCGAGGGCTGAAGTCACTGTAGTCAATAATGTATTTGTCGTAGTGAGATCCCAAAAGTGTGTTGAAGCCCATCATCTCATAGTGGTACGGGACGGCTGGGGAATCATTTCCCTCTGGACGTGTGACCCACAGACGATATGTGTTTTTCTTATGACCAACTTGTGTGACATTTTTCCAGATCTCACAAAGAACGCCTGCGTAATACTCCATCTTCTCAAACTGCAAAAACAAACAATGATTTTATATACATTTCAGCCTTGCTGCAGGTTTGAACGACATTAAAAAAAGTAAATGATGAGGGAATTTTCACTTTTAGGTGAACTGGCCCTTTAAGAAGTGCATACTTCAAAGCCCTGCAGATCAGGTAGTGCTGTCTGTGGACGTATTGGATCCTCCTTTGTACCATTAAGCTGGAAACACTTCATAGTATTGAATTCTGTCTCAGTGGTAACTGGTGTGATCTTGTAAGTGACACCATAATCCAAGTCGTCTCCAATAAAAAAAGTGCACACTTGACCTGTAGATGGGAGCAATTAGTAGAAATAATCTATTCCATTTCAATCCTGCCTGATTTAATCATCTGATGATTGATGACTGACCATGATAAAAGTCGATGCGACCTCGGTTCCCCTTAAGGTCATACCAAGCTTCAAACGGCTCCTTTATCTCAGCATAAGGCAAAGTCAGCATACCTACATAAAAGAGGTACATGTAACATACTGAAAAAGAAGTGTACTGTACTGGGATATACAGTGTAATCAGGCAGAAATGCACCTTTGACATGATACATCTTTCCAAAATCAGGAGCTGTCCTGCCACCAACTGGAGTGGCATCTGGGGAAGAAACAGAGAGAGATCACAATTATTTTCATGAACTTTTACTTTCACGTATTGACAAATACTAATACTTAAAACCTTACTAAGCCTAAATATAGTATTGCATTCTCCCTCAACACTTTTAATGTTAAAAACAGCACAGGATATCTATATCACGAGATCAACTATTATATTTCCTGTTGTCATGTTGTTTTCTCTCTACCTGCAGCACACAGCAGAAGCACGAGCCCAGCTAGAAGACGCCACATACTGCAATATTAAAGCAGACAAACATCCACTGGAGATGGAAAATAAGCTTTCGTCCGTCAGAAAGTCAGTCACTCACGAAATAAAACTCAGTGTGTGCGCCAGTGACGAGGCGCGATAACAAACGCGAGGAAGGGGCTGAATTAAAGTCATATGACGTTGGGTCTATTGCTGTCACATGACTGCAGTCAGCTGTTTTCTGTGAGCGATTTCCTGTATAGGTTTTATTGCGGTTAAAATTGCTGACTTGATTTCTAACTAGATCACACGGTGTATTACAAATATTAAACAAGATTGTTCACTACACGAATCCTGTATCAGAAGTAAGAATCAAAACGAGAAATATGAAGCGTGAAGTGTATTGTAATGAGAGATGGGAAGTAACTTTGCAGAATGCTTGAAACATGAGAGGAGCAACTGACAACAGCAAACCATCACATATAATACATGAATTGCTGGTTTAAAAGTGACTTTATTTCGCACCTCTAACATTTTTCTAGAGTTTACATCTAGCAATTCAGACTTTTTTCCTCGCATTTTTCTTTATTTTTAGGCTTTCATAAACTCACCTGTACGAAAAAAAATTCTCCCCTGTGAGAAAAATAAAAATCTTCTTTTTTGTGTCAGTTTCTTTAAGCAATTCAATTATGTTATTAGCAGTTTGTTAGTGCTAAAATGTATTTCTGTCGTAAGTTTAACTAAAGCCATCTGTCACAGAGTGGTTTATTAATGAAGCAAATCTGTTTTCTCTCGTTTTTTGATAAAATACACAGGTTGTTATTGCTAAGCAAACAGTGGTGCTTTGTGATCTCCCCACTCTTAATGGCCAATATGTGAAAAAATGTATAGATTTAAGTCAAATTTATATTTTCCTTCTTAACCCATGGCAGAGCTTTGGTGGAAAACCTACAGTGAAATGTAATTTTTTATTTTTATTTATTTATTTATTTTTCTCATTCTCATGTCATTCCAACCCTGATTGACTTTTGTGGGGTTGAGTGAATCTCTTTACTGCCCTATAGTACTGCAGAAATCACTTTAAAGGTATACATGTAAATTAAAAGGGGTACAGTGGCTTTCATCATCTCTATTCTAATGGCTATCTGATACAAGACATTCATCAATATGCTGATTGAGACACAGTCCAACTCACTTACTTGTGTGTTCTAACATATGTTTGGTCTCATCTGACATCTTATAAACTGAACTGAATTTTGTTGAACTTAATAGTAATATTTATTTAGTATCCTAAAGTACAATCTAGGCACTATTGCTGAAACGTGCATTGAGGAGACTATGTTAATTAGTTATGTTCGGCCTATTTCTCCCCCTCTTGATCACATCACCAACCGTTCACTTTATCTTTTGGCTGGTTTTGGTGTTGGTATTTCACTCATGTTTTTACAAACCTTTGTTCACGAGGAGGAAAGGTAACTTTTGATCTGGACAAAAGGATTTAACCCTGCCACTAGGGTATGAAAACCCTAGAACCCTAGGTAAGATATGAAAACAAGCCAGACACTTTATATAAATACCAACAAGTGGGGTGTATATTTTTATCAGTTTTATTTTAAAAAACTAAACACAATATAACAATAAAATAGCATGAAAATAGCATTTACTGTGTACAAAATTAAAGTCTGCCCAACCCAAATTCCACTGCAAGATAGGTGGTTGCTCATGCTTATTCCCCAAAATGGCTTGATTATCATAGAAAAGTACAGTCAACAGTTTCTTTGTTTATGCCCCACTTGGGGTGCTCACATCCTGAGCAAATGGTCATCAATTGTAGAATTAGAGCAGACGAGGAACCATGAACCATCTCAGACACATACAGACCACATTTGTTACAACATGAACAACTTAATTTACATTAGGGGTGGTAAAAAAATTGATGATGAGGGAATTTATGTTTTGGGGTCCTTTCCGACTCAGTTCTTCATCAAATAAATAGTCTCTGGCTTCATGTAGTCTACTTTGTCATCTGCAATAATCTATGGAAGGCCAAAACATGTGAAACAAACATCTTAACATGTCGTAATTCCATGTTAACACCTAATTAACATGTTTTGGCCTTCATTAATAATCTTCTTCATTGATGTCTTGAACCTCCTCATCAAGGCTCGTGCAGTCGCTCTTTGCCATATGTCACATTGACTTTCTTCAGCCTCCTTACGAATAAAGAGGATTTTTCTGTGTCTCCTTTATGAGGAAGAAGTGGTATTCTGGTTATTTAAAAGCCACAACACAACATTTTCTAAGCTTAATTCTGTTTTTCATTTGCAAAACTGTGACTTGCCCGAGTAATTCACTCAAATGGCTGTAGGAATACTGACAGTCCAAATCTATGACCAACCCATTCACACCTCAAAGCATCTTGCAGCATCGCAATAGTACTTCTTGTTATAATTGTTGTTGACGGTCTGGGAAGTTACCCAAATGCTCCGTGTCTTTTATGTGGACTTGTGTACACACTGCATCTAGACACATTTGACTTTGTGCCGGCCCTAAAATCCATGCAAGTGTGTAAGCAATTTTGTTATTTTTTAAAGAAAAATACAAAATAAATAAATTAAATATTTAAATAAAGAATAAATTACAACCGTTCTTCCTTTTTTTAGCATAGTATTACTAGCATTACTCAAGTCAACAGTGAGTTTGAAACAAAATAAAATTAACTTGTACTAACTTGAGCACCTTATGTTCATCTGAACTCAATCTTGTTAGCTAACTGGAACTTAATTTTCTTAATATTCCTAATCTTCCTCTTAATCAGGGAATTTCACTGTAGGAAAAACAACGCACTCAAGTAATTTGTAATTTCACTCTTTTTCTAATTAAGAGAGGTGTTCATTTACTTGCTTTTTCAAAGTTTGTGTACTCAACTAATCAATTTTTACAGTATTTGCTCCACAATCTGAGAAGTTTTTGATACCGAGGATGTGTGTTAATCACACACTAAATTAAATTAAGGTTTTGTAAATTTTACCTTACAATAAATATCCAAAAATAATTTGAATTCATTTTACAACATTTTTAACACTTTCAAACCTTCAAAACCTCAAGCGTTAAAGTAGCAATGAAACGAAAGCCGCAACAGATCTTTTCTACCAATATTGTGAAATAAATCCAGAAAATGTATCGTCTTCATTTTTATTTCTTTTGAAAAAAATCATCCTAAGTCTGAGAGAGTTTACCATATCATTTGTTGGCAACAGACTCAAAGAATGTGTGAGGACTATTTTGTAACATCCTTTTTCTTATCTGGAATTAATAAACCTCCTGTCATCCTGGCCAGCTCTGCCTTTGACCAATCAGCGAAGTGGTTGATACCGAGGCTGTATGTAAGGCCGGCTCTGTTCATAGAGTGCACATACCTGAGGAGGAAGAGGATGTTAAACAAAAAAGCGTTTGCATCTTAAATCAGACAACAGATTTCTCACAGATTTGCTTTTCCTCACCGAAGACTATGTACAAAGTAGCTCTCGCGCTCCTCGTGCTCCTTCTCACTTGCATACTGACGTTCAAACTTCTCCTTAAAGGGGCCAAACAAACGGTGGGCGTGGCTAACAGGAGAGGTGTGGACATAGTCTTGAAGGGGGTTGGCCAATATTTGATGCTCCTCAGGAGGATCCGGAAACTCCTCATACGTTTCTAAACACATAAAACCTCAGTGAGCATTTGATTAGATGGTCTGTAAGAGTAACAGAGACGGACAGAGGCATGTCACTGAATGTGTGTTCTCCAGTTACCTCCAGGGGGAGTGAAAATGTCCGACTCAGTTTGGGGGCTGAAGTCACTGTAGTCAATCATGTATTTGTCATTGTGAGACCCCAAGAGAGTGTTGAAGCCCATCATCTCATAGTGGTACGGGACAGCTGGGGAATCATTTCCCTCTGGACGCGTGACCCACAGACGATATGTGTTCTTCTTATGACCGGCCTGTGTGACCTTTCTCCAGACCTCACACTGAACGCCTGTGTAATCCTCCATCTTCTCAAACTGCAAAATAATGATTTTATACAAATTTGATACACATAATTAAATCTATGGGGTTTAATGTTGTTCATATCTTTCTAAACCTCTTTGACTTTCTTCTACGTAGCACAAGACATTTTGGATTGTGTTTTATAACTGTTTTACTGTTTTTTGGTATAACTGTTTTTGTCCGTACAATGAGAGTCAATGAAGTCCTAAACAACATTGGACTTTCATCATCTGGACAAAAAAAAGCTGTTTACACGTCATTGATGTTTTTCGCATACAGACGGTTCAGCTCCGGTGTATTTAATCGATCTTCTATCATTCTCATTTTTCTATATATCCTAATCATTTGTTATCATATCAGACATGTATTCATTACCTCGATGAGCTCATTGTTTCTGCCTTAAATTAATACGTTGTTTAAATGAGTACATTATTAGCTAACTGTGATTTGTATATGTACATTTCTGAAATAAATAACTTGGACAGTCACCTCTGACCTCTGATAACAGATCACTCTAAATTGTAGACATGCATTTTCAGTAAAGCTGCTTTGAAACAATATGCATTGTGAATGCATACAAATAGAGTACAGTAGACTGAACACAAAAGTTTACACCTTTTTTAAAAGTTTGCTTTTTAACCCCTTAATGCACCATTGTCATGTAAATGAATGGCCAAAGCACATGAAAAGTTGTTAGTCGAAGTTGGTGTCGTGTAAACGCCCCCCTGACACATTTTTCTAAATAACTTTTGTGTTTTATAGTACATACTTCAAAGCCCTGCAGATCAGGTAGTGCTGCCTGTGGACGTATTGGATCCTCCTTTGTACCTTTAAGCTGGAAATATTTAATAGCTTGGATTTCAGTCTCAGTGGTAACTGGTGTGATCTGATAAATGGCACCATAATCCAAGTCGTTTCCAATCAGAAAAGTGCGCACTGTACCTGTATAGAGAGCATCAATGAAGAGAAACTGCATACATAATATTTTGATTAACATTATGTGAATTTATCATGAGAAGATTACTAACTATTACGATAGTCGATGCGACTTCTGTTCCCCTCAAGGTCATACCAAACTTCAAACGATTCCTTTAGCTCATCACCAGAATAAGGTAAAGTCAGCTCACCTACATACAAGAGGTACATGTAACATACTGAAAAAGAAGTGTACTGTACTGGGATATACAGTGTAATCAGGCAGAAATGCACCTTTGACATGATACATCTTTCCAAAATCAGGAGCTGTCCTGACATCAATTGGAGAGGCATCTGGGGAAGAAACAGAGAGAGATCACAATTCACTTAAATCAACTTACACAACACATTTAGTGTTCAAAACATCACAGGAAATGTGTCATATTATCAGGTTTTCTTCCAGTGTTTTCTCTTTACCTGCAGCACACAGCAGAAGCACGAACCCAGCTAGAAGACGCCACATACTGCAATATAAAGCAGACTTCCACTGGAGATGGAAAATAAGCTTTCGTCCATCAGAAAGCGTCAAACACAAGTGTTAGTGGATAGCAGAAGTTCGCAATAAAAACACACGAAGGAGGGACTGGATTAACGTCACATATGATAGAGCAGAGGGTTCATTGGTGGGGGGTGGGCAAATATTTATTGAACTGGATCAAGGTCTGTGTTTGATACCCCTTGCGGGGGTTATCGTTGAGAGTCGTCTGGAATCAGTCCACCTTTCTTTCACCCCTGGGAAAATATACTGTGAATGTGCTGGGACTTTTAAAGCTGCACTCATTCCTGAATTATTGGTTAGGATATATGTAAAAAAGCAATTAAATTAACTTTAAATTACTCGAATATAGGCTCAAATTAAATACTGGCCAGCTCTTAAGTGGTTGTTTGAGTGTTTTGAGTTTCTGGGGGAGGAAAAGTGTAGGTTAAAATAAAGCACTGTTTACAATGGACTGATGTTCAGGGTGCTGAACTTTGATTTACAGTGATAACATAGATCGATCTCCTAAATTAATAGCTAATGTGCATATAAATAGTAATTTGAACTATTTATATCTTTAGCTATTTATGAGATTGATGTCAAAAAATGTTTAACATGTTCAAATGTATATAGATAGAACATGTTTATTTCTTACCTCAGTGACTAAATGATGATCTTTCTGTGTTTGTGTATGAAATATTAGCTATTTCATAGGCATTAGAATGGGTAGAGGTTATTTGCTCAGACTTCGCCTGTATAAGGAAAAGAGTTCACTGCAAGAGATAAATGTTAATAGTACATAAACTTTATAATTCTAAAAATTATGTTAATTTTATGGGTATACTGTAGCTACATGATGGGATACTAAACAAAGGCAATTCATGGTAGAAGGAGTCATAAATCAAGAAAGAATATGTACTGAGGTGGAATTAGGCAGGATTAAGGAACAATTTAGAGGAAGAAAATGAACTACTTGGGCATCAGTAATGAGAAAAAGATATTAACTTGAAACATGAGATGAGCTGCATAGTCAAAATAATGTAATCAAGTTAAATAAAAAAATTAAAGAAATGTAACCAAATTTAAAATAATATATTACAAATATAAGGGTGTCTAATTGTTGATTTGAGTAAAAATGACACAAAAGGTTATCAATATCAGAACTTATTTATTGCATAGTGTTTAGTTAGTATTTTATTACATTCCGGGTTGACCAAAAACGTCAAGCAAACAGACTTCAAGCCATACATTGGAAATGATACATTTTGCTAAATAAATGAAGAGACTCCATTTAAACAAATGCACTTATTCAAAAGATGATTTAGAAAAAGATGTAGGGCAGCATTTAACAATTATTTTGATAATTGATTAATCCGTTTATTGTGTCTTCAAATAATTGGATAAAAAAGGCATTTAAATTAAAATGTTTGCCCAATGTTGTCCTCAAAACAATAAATCAAAGGTTATGACAGCAAATATAATAAATTATTATGTATAACGTAGGTAATGCTATACATTGTGCAAAAAAAGTACAGTAAAAGCCCAGACTAAACACACTCACTCATATGAACCGTAGTAGTAGGCCAACACTACAGTCTCACAACTCAACCGTCAGTCGTTCTCTCCTTCGCCATGTTTGAATTTACGGACACACACACACACCCGAGACCCAGAGATCTTGTGCGATATTACGTCACGAGTGAAAAGAGAGATGGCAGCATAGATATATAAAGGCTAGATATCTCGTCCACGCTGCTGGCCAATGTAGGTCGACGTCTGCAACTGGCGGCCATCTTGTCACAGGCAGCTCGCTCACTCGTAACACATACACTTTTTAAATAACCATTACTTGCTCAATTTTCAAACGGTTTGGTTTGTTCTAAACGTCAGATATGTAGTTATGACACAGCACACTACGAATAATAAGTGTATACATAAATAATCATCAAGATAATTATAACCACGTTAATAACGTTTGTAAGAAACCAAACCGTTTCTAAATCCGTTAAGATTTCAACGAGATAAGAGTATTTGTGTTTGTGCTGTCCACTCATCTTACATCAGCTTGCCTGTGACAAGATGGACGCCGGTGATGACTATAAAATAGATAGCCTGTAGCCTTAAGACATCTAGCCTTTATATAGATATCTATGGATGGCAGGACACATTGCAGAAATGCTTGAAACATGAGATGAGCTACTGTCATTGAGGAAATATTTAGACCAATTTTAATAAAGAAGCAAAAAAAAATGGCTTTAACAGATTATTATTGAATAATCTGACAAAGGACATACAATATTAGAAAAGAATAATAGCCATTTTTTGAAAACTTTTTAATGTACAAGAAATAAAGAAAAATGTGTTAGAATGTAGGTTGTTAATTGGAGGTTTTCTCATTTTTCTCCCTCAGATCTACATGACAAACTCTTGCAAAAACATCACATATGTTGACAACATACTCAAAGAAATGAAAGAGATTTTCATTTTCATTTTATTTTTTTTGTAAAAAAATCCGCTACTTGTGCAATATCTGATTGGTTTCATTCCCTTTCTAGAACTTCATGTAGAGGAGGTTGATCTGATTTCTGTCCTGTACAGATTGCTACAGTATTTGGAGAGTGGTAAGATAAGGTTGGCACAGTTTAAAACATGAAACATGTTTCATATCCTCCAAATGGGTGAAATCCTAATCTGAAGCTAAAAATCGGTGAGTATATTGTTTACACTGCAATGAAATCTGAGTGCTTAAAATCTGCAGACTGGCTCCAACTTTTGGCTGTGTCAACTCATCCAGACTGCAAATCCGGTCAAAAATCAGTAGTATTGCAGTGCAGTGCATTTCAGTCTTTACTCAGACTGTTTACTTATTGATTTGATACAAAATCTTTGGTCAGAAGAACTGATGTTATGTACATTTAATCAAAGACTAAACTCATGGCTTTAATCAATTAAGTCATTAGTATTTAATGACATTTGAGATGCGATAAGCAATGTCACCATCCACACTTTATACACGGAAGACCAGTTACAAACCCTAAACCGAAAATGATATATCTTGTCAAAACAGCTTGGAGATGCAATTAGATACTCAATTAAACCAAATGTAATTATGATGATGATTTAGAAAAATATTAAATTACCACTATTCTCATCAGAGGACAGTTTTTAAAGGGGGGATTGATTGCGATTTCACTTTTTTCATTTTAAATAGTGTGTAATGTTGCTGTTGGTGCATGGACATTATCTGCAAAGTTGCAGCGCTGAAAGTTCAGTGTAAGCAGAGATATCGTCTTTTAAAAAATCAGGAAGTTTAATGCCTACAAAAACGACTCGATTGGGACTACAACGGGTTTTAGACGTCACCCATACATTTACATCAACCCTCCCTCCGGAAAATGCAAAAAAGGGCAATGGCCATATTTCTGCGGCTCGTCGAGTGTGTTATGTTCATCCAGCTGTCAGGTCTGACTCTGTACTTTGTCAACAATGGACACAATTTACGTTTGATTATTGTAACAAGGTTCAGGGAAGAAGGAGGCAGGAACCGGATAATAATCAAAAATAAAACTTTATTTAAACAAAATAAACAAACAAATTACCTGCCAGCAGCCCCTCACGGACGACTGCTGGCTACCAAAAATAAAATATAAAATACCAGCCAGCAGCCCCTCGCGGACGACTGCTGGCTTACCAAATAAAATATAAAATACAAACAAAAGCAGGCCTGTTCCTTTCTCGATCATCCACTCCGTCGCTCCCCCTTTATGCCTCCGCTCCTTCGTGAGAGATGCGACATCCGGTGTGCTTCGCAGGTGCTGCTCATTAGCAATCGCAACACCGGCCTCGCGACTTCCTCTCTGTCCCTCGGCCGTCCTGCTCACCACAATTATGTTCCTGAAAATTACAATCATAATTTAGCTCTCTGTGCTGCGCATTTTACGAGAGACAGCTTCCAGAATCTCCACGAATTCAATGCCGGATTCAACAAGAAACTGTTACTAAAACATGAAGCAGATCCAACTTTAAAACCAGAGGCAGCAGTTGTTGGGCCACAACCTCTAAGTAGGCTAAGACTTAATCATTTTAAATTTGCATGTATAATTTCAGACGTAGCCTTGTGTTTTAGTTTTATAAAATGCCAGCGCTGGCTATATAGCCACTAGGCTACTAGTTATGCTATTTTATGTCTACGACAAACGCGTACAAACATTATGGACCTGATTTATGTATGAGTACTAATGTTGTAAATCTATTTTTCATGTATATATACTTTATGACGTTTTTTTCGATTTGATCAAGAACGTAAACCAATGCCAACGCTGTTTGTGTATGTAGTAGCCAGTCAGTTCAATGCTATTGTGTAAAAAACCGTGTATGAAAAAAAAAAATATAGGCAAATTACCATTCAGAAGCGTTTATTAAGAGCAGTGTGGTGAGGTTCTGCTTTACACTCTTCATACTGATACTGCAGTGTCGACACTATTATTTACATTGGACCGTCCAGAGCACATGCACGTTTCGCCCGTAAAGGTAATGGGCGTGACACACCGGCCCAAACTAACCAATCTGAGCCCACTGCCTGTTTCTGAGGGAGTGGTTTCATCGACTCAGGAAGTCAACCAGTCGTTCAAATAACAGAGGAGAATCCAGCTGATAATAAAGGTGAAATTTATGAAATAAGACTTTTTAAAAAAAGAAAAACCACGAATACATGTTATATTGCACCCCATAAACACAATCATGCAAAGAAAAAAGCAGTAAACCACCCCTTTAAGTTAGTTAAACATTTTTTTAACCTTTAGATTTTAATGACAAACTCTTAGACAATCTGAGAAAGTTTACCATACTGTATAATATGTTGGCAACAGACTCAAAGAAATGTGTGAGGTCTATTCTGTAACAGCCTTTATCTCATCTGGAATTAATAAACCTCCTGTCATCCTGGCCAGCTCTGCCTTTGACCGATCAGAGAAGTGGTTGATACCGAGGCTGTATGTAAGGCCGGCTCTGTTCATAGAGTGCACATGCCTGAGGAGGAAGAGGATGTTAAACAAAACAAAAAAAAAGCGTTTGCATCGTAAATCAGACAACAGATTTCTCACAGATTTGCTTTTCCTCACCGAAGACTATGTACAAAGTAGCTCTCGCGCTCCTCGTGCTCCTTCTCACTTGCATACTGACGTTCAAACTTCTCCTTAAAGGGGCCAAACAAACGGTGGGCGTGGCTAACAGGAGAGGTGTGGACATAGTCTTGAAGGGGGTTGGCCAATATTTGATGCTCCTCAGGAGGATCTGGAAACTCCTCATATGTTTCTAAACATAAAACCTTAGTGAGCATTTGATTAGATGGTCTGTAAGAGTAACAGAGACGGACAGAGGCATGTCACTGAATGTGTGTTCTCCAGTTACCTCCAGGGGGAGTGAAAATGTCCGACTCAGTTTGGGGGCTGAAGTCACTGTAGTCAATCATGTATTTGTCATTGTGAGACCCCAAGAGAGTGTTGAAGCCCATCATCTCAAAGTGGTACGGGACAGCTGGGGAATCATTTTCCTCTGGACGCGTGACCCACAGACGATATGTGTTCTTCTTATGACCGGCCTGTGTGACCTTTCTCCAGACCTCACACTGAACGCCTGCGTAATCCTCCATCTTCTCAAACTGCAAAAAAATAACCATTTTATACACATTTCAGCCTCATTGTTGCATTGGTTTGCTCCAAAGAAGAAAGTCATTCAGGTTTAAAAGGCATGAGGATAAGTAAATGATGACAGAATTTTTCAATTTTAGGTGAACTGTCCCTTTAAGAAGTACATACTTCAAAGCCCTACAGATCAGGTAGTGCTGTCTGTGGACGTATTGGATCCTCCTTTGTACCATTAAGCTGGAAATATTTAATAGCTTGGATTTCAGTCTCAGTGGTAACTGGTGTGATCTGGTAAATCACACCATAATCCAAGTCGTTTCCAATCAGAAAAGTGCGCACTGTACCTGTATAGAGAGCACCAATGAAGAGAAACTGCATACATAATCTAATTTGATTAACATTATGTGACTTTATCATAAGAGTCACTGACTATTATGATAGTCAATGCGACTTCTGTTCCCCTCAAGGTCGTACCAAACTTCAAACGGTTCCTTTAGCTCATCATCAGAATAAGGCAAAGACAGCATTCCTAAATAAAAGAGGTACATGTGTAACATACTGAAAAAGAAGTGTACTGTACTGTGATATAATGTGTAGCAGAAATGCACCTTTGACATGATACATCTTTCCAAAATCAGGAGCTGTCCTGACATCAACTGGAGTGGCATCTGGGGAAGAAACAGAAAGATCACAAAATGTATTATTAACTTTTCTATAACTAAGAATAGAAACGAAACCTATTTAATCGCATACTTGGCATGTTGCTAAGTAGGTTTAAGCATTACAGGAAATTAAATCACGACATCAACTCCCATACTGTATTAACGTTATAAAATGATGGCCCATTGGGGGCAGACAAATATTTATCGAACTATACCAATTCGTATATCCTTCACCTTGAGTCTAGATTTGATAAATATTGCAAAGAAATAGCTGACAAATACATAGTAGCCTAAATAGAGCCTAGTTCTTCAAATTTGTAGATAGATCAAAATACTATCGTCGTGATGTGTGCTGCATTTATCGGAAATGTCCTACTCCCCACTTCGGAAATCCTAATAACTCATATTTAGTAAATCTCCATATGACTTATAGAATGAAATGTAGCGTCCCATTTGTTGCCAAAGTTCCGGATTTACGCCAGTTTTCTCATATGGTTATTTAGGCTATATCTGAATATGCATGGATGTAAGAAGAAAGCAATAAATGGTAAAAAGAATAAAACTCAAACTCAACCCTCAGTCGTTCTCTCCTCCGCCATGTTTACGGACACACCCAGAATGAGACCGCAAGAATCATGTGCGAAATCACGTCACGAGTGAAAAGAGAGATGACGGGACACTTTGCAGAAATGCTTGAAACATGAGATGAGCTAACTGTCATTGTGGAAAAATTTAGACCAAGTTTAATAAAGAAGCAAACAAATGTATACAATTTTACATAATACGCCTATATTACAACTATACAATGGCTGTCTTTTTTTTTTTTAACTCATCCTAATCAGAGCAAAAAAAAATAATATATAAACTGGTTTTATTGAATAATCTGACAAAGAACATACAATATTAGAACAGGATAAGTCATTTTTTGAAAACGTATTAATACAAATTTAAAGAAAAAGTAGTTGTTAATTGAAAATGATACATTTAGTAAAATATCAAGACACAAGAAAATATGAAAATGCCACTATTCTCCTAAGAGAGCAGTTTGATTTATTTTAACTATTTATTATGAATTCTCTTTTTTTTCTCCCTCAGAAACACTATCATGTTGGCAACATACTCAAAGAAATGTGTGAGGACTATGTTGTAAAAAATATTATGCAATATATTATTAGTTCCATTCCCTTTCTAGAACTTCATGTAGAGGAGGTTAATCTGATTTCTGTCCTGTACAGATTGCTACAATATTTGAAGATGAAATGATAAGATAAGGGTTGGCACAGTTTAAAACATAAAACATGTTTGATATCCTCCAACTGGATGAAATCCTAATCTGAAGCTAAAAACTGAGTCTGTTGTGTACACCACACAACGAAATCTGTCAATTCTGAGTGCTTAAAATTTGCAGACTGGCTCCAACTTTTGGCTGTGTCAACTCATCCAGACTGCAAATCGGGTCAAAAATCAGTAGTATTGCAGTGCAGTGCATTCCAGTCTTTACTCAGACTGTTTTGCAACCAATGTCATTGGTGAATATCCATAAGTTGAACAAAGTTCAGTCAGAGCAGAGCTGTAAGTTGGTTCTGATAGGCAGACAGGTGTCAACCCAGCTGTTGCAGCTCTGCATTACTCTTGACCACACACTGATCTCATCTTTAGTAGAATCCATCCAGCAAACTGACTGACTGTAACTCATTCCTGCAACACAAACACACAGTCTTAAAGAGGAACCATTTTTTAAAACATCACTTAAAGAGAGTATTAAGAGGGTGGTTGGTTGGTTGGTTGAAACTGGTGGTTATGGTTTACACGTTTAAAGAAGTTGACCAATCACAACACATTAATCCAGCTGACCAATCAGAGCACATTGTGCTTTTCAGAAGGAGGAGCTTCATAGAAAAAGGAACTAAACGGGTGTGTTTTCCAAAAGCAACGTTAGTCCAACTATGGTCGCAACTTCCATCATTATTAGCATAGTTAAATGAGTTGTGTTTTCCCAAAAGCATAATTCTGACGAACTTTCGCAAATAGCAGCGGCAGTGCAAATTTTGGAACGGCAGCTCTCTAACTGTGGTTAGAATTACTTGTTAACATGACGTGGACTTAATAAATCCTTGTCTTGAGCAAAATAAGCAAGCTGACATTCATTACAATCTGTATCTTTTATATAGAATACATACAAATGTAATTTACGTCTTTGAGTTTGTCAAGAGATTTAAAGCACTCTTTTTGAACGTTTTTGATCTGGAAGTAAAGTAAAATAACTGAAAATTTTAACTACTCCTCAGATGTCATGTTTGTAATTTTTATCTAAACATTTAGCATTAATTCAATCTCAAACAGATTCATTAAAGTTATTAGTCCACCACCTGCCTGACATCATTAAAAAAGGTGGTTGAACGACCAATTTGCGACAATACAGTTTTGGGAAACTGTAGCTGTGACTAGTTGGTTGATTTCTTCAACGATGGATCATACTGTGGGAGTAACGTCGTGGGAAACGCGCCCCATAGTGTTATTGACAGACTGAGAAGAGAGGAGCAGCAACAACGTAAAATATTTAAGAGAAGGTGTTTTTTGAACATTCAACGGGAAAAACTCTTCTAGCAGAGATATCAAGATCAAGACTTAGGCATAATAGGTTCTCTTTATCTCTTAGCTGTTTTTATTTCTATTGTCAAGTATGTTCAAATCTGTATTACCAGAGCCTGTGCTGAGTCTCACTCCACCCAGACAGTCGGAGTGATGTGGATTCCAGACCGTTATTTCTGCACATGCCTGCATGAGGTCACTGGACTGAAACCCGTCATAAACCATGGTGTGGTTGAACACCGGGCTGACAGAACCTCGCACTAGTCGAGTTCGCTGGCCACTGATGCCGCTTTCATCTGGTAACACCACACTGTAGAAACACAGACAAAAACGAATTACTTTAGAAACGCTGACGCAGAGGCTCACGCTCGGCTCTATGATTGGGTGTCATCAGTCATGACGTGTCCTTCCCTGATTCATCAGCCACTGTTTACACTGGCACGCGCATGCCTAGTGTTGGTTCAGTCATTTTAATGTGGACGGAGATCAATTCTAATACGCAGATAAAACGCTGGTGTGGATGGAGATCGTATTCGTTTATTTCTCCGTTTTTAAAAGAAAACGCAGTAGCGTGGACGGGGCCTCAGTTTAACTTGCCACATTTCCAGGCGAAAACCCGGCTAAAACACAGGCCTTTATATGTAGTGAAAAAACACCCAATCTGGCAACACAAAATACCAGTGTCGCACCGCGGCCGCCGTCGACAAAGTAGCGAGCAAGGAGGCGTCGTATGATCATTTAAACGGATTTTATGACTAGGCCGGTGAGGATGGGAAAAATCGTACATTTCTGTGCAAACTGCCCGTCGATAAAATAATTGTTGTCTGTGGTTGTATATGGGCTGTGGCAAAAAAAAAAAAAAAAAGCTTGCAACATATGGAAAAAAAGAACTATGAACTGAACTAGTTCATTTTCAAATGTGTGAACTGAACTTTGAACTAGTTCATGTAGAAAGTGAACTTTCCCAACACTGCATGGACTCATGCATAATAAACATTAAACGAACCACTCTGTCATGAATGGGCACACACACCTTTTCACAAATGTGTTGGGTGCACCACGTTTTGTGGGAAGTAGACCAACAATCTCTCTCAACCATATATGGAGCTCACCAGTCAGTGGATGACCATTTCCTGCAGACACAGAACACACAAAATAAGATATTGACATGATGGGGTTTTAAACAAACTGTACCTGAACAAACCACAGGGGGGCAACACTGTCCAAGGACCAATCAGTAATGAGACCAGAGGGACCCAATAAGGTCCTCTTCAACAGAGTTTACCAAACAAGGGGTTTGTGATTGGATGAAAAACTAAGAATTAAATCATAACATTAGAAATACGGCTGCACAAGTAATAAAAAACAAACAAAACACAATTTATCTGTCTGTAAACAGCAAACCTGATTTTACTCCAAAATAAAAGCTTGAGGGTTTGAATAATTGAAGACGTTAGTATTGCAGTGTAAAACGTTATTATTATTTTTTTAATGATTGAGTATATTTTTTTTATTTAAAGTGCAATTGTATTATTACAATAGAAATGTATTGTAATAATACAAAAATATTGTGTATAATTAGATTTAAAATGACAATAATCATGTAAAAATATGATATAAATAACAATCACAAAATAAGTTTCTGATGAAATTAAAAAATGTATAATTAAATACGTATGACCTGTGACCATTATCCAATATCAGAGAGTCTTGTCAGGTAATTGAAATATTAACATAAAAGGGTGTTTTTTATCAAATGGATTCGGCTGACCATAAAAAGTTTGGGAATCCTTGCTCTACAGTTTAGCCGTAAGAGATAGTGTGCCCACCCATAAAAACTGGTAATGGGCCACATGACTTTTAATAATGGCCCTGCATATAAATATGGATAGAAAGGTTTAAAATATGAATCATCTGCTCAGACTCACCCTCTGAACCCGGAGGTACAAACTTAATTGAGAACAGAATGGTTCCTCTGCTGATGATGGCATCTGGACTTAACTGAACCTACATCAAGAGAAAGAGTCTCCTGATGAGAGACTGACTATCACAGGTTTAATTCAATCCACATATCAGCCTATCTGCATCTGAAATTGCATACTTCCCAACTACATAGTAGGTGAGTATGTAATTAAAGTAGTATGTCTGAATTCACAGTACTCATAAAAAAAGTCATCAAAAATGTACCTGGATGAACAACGGTTAGATTCTGAGGTGTGCATATGATGGTCACTTTACTATAGTAATGACAACATGGCGAATGATCACTACTGTGAAGTCATTACTTATTCAAAATAAGAGTATGCGATTTGGGATGCAGCGTCTATATGAATTGGGCTCACTCTCGGTTGCAGGTTGTGCCAGGTTGGTTGGCTCTGGCTCCAGTCCCACAGACCCAGCCTCACCTCCACCTCCCCCAGGAACAGGTTTCTCCTCAATCTCTCCAAGTGCCAGACTGACATACTCAACACACGAGCCTGGAGGTCCAGTCTGCGCACTTTGTACTGGTACAGGCAACATTTTAGAAATGAGTGGGGAAAGAAATAGTACTTTAATGTATTTTAAATTCATAGAAGTCATTTTTAACAATAATAATCAATGAAAGAAAACTGACTTTCATGGTTTCATCATAGACCGGATTTAATGTTTTTCTCTTCATTGCAGTTTTTCTCTTACTGCGGGATGTGTTGTCGGGGAGAAGGTAAACTTTAACGTATCTGTGTGTGAGAGAAAGATGGAAACCATTCATTATATATACATTCAAAAGTTTGGAGTCAATAAGATTTTTTTTATTATATGCATTATATCTTTTCATAAATAACTGTAACCAAAGTTAAAACGCATTACACTCATCTAAAGGATTATTAGGAACATGACACTAATACTGTGTTTGACCCCCTTTCGCCTTCAGAACTGTCTTAATTCTACATGGCATTGATTCAACAAAGTGCTAAATTGATAGGATAGCATCTTGCAGTTGATGGAGATTTGTGGGATGCACATCCAGGGCACGAAGCTCCCGTTCCACCACATCCCAAAGATGCTCTATTGGGTTGAGATCTGGTGACTGTGGGGGCCATTTTAGTAAAGTGAACTCATTGTCATGTTCAAGAAACCAATTTGAAATGATTCGAGCTTTGTGATATGGTGCATTATTCTGCTGGAAGCAGCCATCAGAGGATGGGTACATGGTGACCATAGAGGGATGGACATGGTCAGACCCCGTCCACACTACTGTGTTTTCGTTTAAAAACGGAGAGTTAAAATGAATACAATCTCCGTCCACACCAGCGTTTTATCTGCGTATCCCCACCACTTTAAAATGACTGAAAATGCGGATCATGTGACCATTCACCAACACTGGGCATGCGCGTGCCGGTGTCAACAGTGGCTGACTAATCAGGGAAGTATACGTCATGACTGATGACAACTAATCATAGAGCCGAGCGTCAGCCTCTGCGTCATCGTTTCTAAACTCCTCCATTTTGTTCCGTCTACACTAAACGCCCTCTGGAGATTCAAAACGCAAAACGGAGCTGCAGCGTTTCTAAACTTCTCCGTTTTAGATTCTCAGTCTAAATTTCTCCGGTCTTCGTTTTTCCCGTTTTAGTCTGGAGGTGCAAACGTAGCAAAAGGTTTCCATTTTTAAACGAAAACGCAGTAGTGGACGGGCCTCAGAAACAATGCTCAGGTAGGCCGTGGCATTTAAACGATGTCCAATTGGCACTAAGGGGCCTAAAGTGTGCCAAGAAAACATCCCCCACACCATTACACCACCACCAGCCTGCACAGTGGTAACAAGGCATGATGGATCCATGTTCTCATTCTGTTTACGCCAAATTTTGACTCTACCATCTTAATGACTCAACAGAAATCGAGACTCAACAGACCAGGCAACATTTTTCCAGTCTTCAACTGTCCAATTTTGGTGAGCTCTTGCAAATTGTAGCCTCTTTTTCCTATTTGTAGAGGAGATGAGTGGTACCCGGTGGGGTCTCTTCTGTTGTAGCCCATCCGCCTCAAGGTTGTGCGTGTTGTGGCTTCATAAATGCTTTGCTGCATACCTCAGTTGTAACGAGTGGTTATTTCAGTCAAAGTTGCTCTTCTATCAGCTTGAATCAGTCGGCCCATTCTCCTCTGACCTCTAGCATCAACAAGGCATTTTTCGCCCACAGGACTGCCTCATACTGGATGTTTTTCCCTTTTCACACCATTCTTTGTAAACCCTAGAAATGGTTGTGTGTGAAAATCCCAGTAACTGAGCAGATTGTGAAATACTCAAACCGGCCCCTCTGACACCAACAACCATACCACACTCAAAATTGCTTAAATCACCTTTCTTTCCCATTCTGACATTCAGTTTGGAGTTCAGGAGATTGTCTTGACCAGGACCACACTTCTAAATGCATTGAAGCAACTGCCATGTGATTGGTTGATTAGATAATTGCATTAATGAGAAATTGAACAGGTGTTCCTGATAATCCTTTAGGCGAGTGTATAATATTGGTTTCTTTCCTTGTTAAAAAATCCTTGTTAAATCTGAAATTGGTTGTTTGTCCTGTGTTTTAATACATTATACTTTGTAACAATAAATAGATAAGTATTATAGGGATTAAAATGATTCCTGAGACCATATGACTGAATGAAAATGACCATGGCCATTGTACACTTACGGGTCCGATCGATTTTTGCGGGCCGATGCAAGGTCTTGGCAGCATATAATGTGCACGTGAAGCTCCTCCTTCTTGATGTCATACTGCAACGAGAACTGGATCCGCCCTGATACTACAACATCCCCGAAATCACCCACACTGTACAGGCTCATCAAACTGCCATTCATCTACTCACACACAAACGGCACAGTTTACCCCTCCAAAGCTTCTGCCGCAAACCATCATGTGTTGTGCTCGAGAGAGAGAGAGAGTGTGTCTTACCATATGATGAGAGGTCAAGCTGCTAACTGAGCCAAACCTAGTGTAGTCTAGTTCAGTGCTGCCAGAGTCAATGTCCCCCTCTGAGTCCATCTACACACACGCACACACACGAATACATATAATACAACAGGTTCTCACACGTGTGCATCTGTACGACAGTCCTCTCTGAACAGACCTGCAGATATGGTGGTGCACTTGGCAAAGCTCTCCTCTCTTTGTCTGCTGGCTCTCCAAAACTTCCTGAGGCAGGAGGGAAAGAGAAGGTGAGCAGAGTGGAGTGCTGAGGCATTTATAAATGCATCATATGATTTGACTGTCAGTACAGTGGATTTTACCTTCAAGAGCATTTCCTACTGCTGCGCTCTTCTGTTCAAAGCAAGAACATTATGTGAAATCTCTCATATTTCACACGCATAGTTAATATAATCTTAAATGTAAAATGACCTTTGTGATGTGTCTTGTCCTGGATTGTGGTTCAGGCGATACCGCAGGAATGAGACTAAAAAGAATGTACAATACAAGACAGTCGCCTTTGGTTGGCTTAGTTAGAATTTAAATAATTTAATATTCAATAATATTGTGATGAGTATTCAGTAAAGTAGATAGTGGTTTGACTTGTCGAGACTGTTTTTCAAGATGGCTCCGGCCTGTATATACAAAGTGGACTGTCTTTATAAAATATCTTCTCATTAAACGGTCTTTACACTTACAACGTTCTCAATGCTTCGTTTTGCATATATGGACTCTCATTATGTTACTGTGTTAGTGTGGGGCTATTTTAAGCCTTGTTAGTGGTATTAACTAGCGATTTCAAAATAATAACTTTGTAAAATGGCATAATATGGCCTCTTTATTATATATAGACTGTTGATGCATTCATTTTACTCAGTCCAAAGTTAAAGAGCAACATGCAGGTTGGACACCCCTATATAGCATAGTGTATGTTGATGATAAAACAACTAGATTTTCTGAACTGGAGTAATATATATTTAGCCATTAACAATATTTTGATAAAACTTGTGATAAAATAACTATGAAGCACTAACCGGAAGTGACGATAGGCGAGGGAGTCTGTTCAAGTTCAAGCTCAAGTTACAATGGATGTGAGTGAAGAAACCGAGTTCTCTGATGTTGACGAACATGCCTATGATGACCCACAGGCCTATAATTATGAGCCTCCAAGGCGAGATGGACGTCGGGGGAGATCGGGGGAGGAACATTGGGCAGAGGAGAGAAGCAACGTTAGAGTTGTGGTGTCAAGAAAACCAGTGGAGAATAGGGCAAATGACTTGGTGAGTTAATGTAAGTTAGCTAGCCCCGTGGATATCACATAGCTACTGTATGGCTAGTATCTTGGTGTTTTGCAATAAATCTGCTTTAGCAAACATACGCTAAACCTTGTTCTTGATTAAACATCCATTTAGATTGTCTTAATTAAAGCCAGCAACGTTTTGTCTTACCATATTCTACGCTGACAGTGATTATGCAGTCCATCCAAGCTGGTTAGCACTATCTACATTGACTAATGACCATGCTATAACAACCAATATACAATGACAATACCTAAGCTACAATAACAACAGTCTAATGGCGCTTTTTCCACTGCATGGCACGGCTCGGTCGGTGCGGTTCGGCTCGCTCGGTACGGTTTGGCTATGACTCGGCTTGACACGGCTCGGCTTGCTTTTCAACTGCAGTTAGTGATACTATTTAAACGAGTGAAATGTGCACCACAAACGACCGAGTGTGTGGTAACAGACACTTCACTGTGGTAACAGTGAAGTCTCCTCTCTTCACCAACACAAAACGCACCCAAGACCGAAAAGCCTTGTTTTTCCAAGAAGGAAAATTATGGACACGATGTCCTGACAGGCTGGAATTCGTGCAACCAGTACAAACACAATAAATTACCATTATGGCTTCTCTAAAACTCAATCTAAAACTCTCTGTCTCTCACTACTAGTACTGCCCTATCAACACCCAACAATGTGAAAGCGGCCGCAAGCTCTTTTTTTTTGCCTCGGCTTACATCATATGACGCGTTGCTAGCGGGAAAGGCGTATTCCAGAGCCTTGCACATTTTCATCAAAAACTCAACATCAAATGAGATTTCATTAATAATTTTACATATGTGTTTTTAAAAGACCTCTGCAGAAAATGTAAAGTATTCATTCAGAAATAAATTCAACCTGCATGTTGCTCTTTAAGGAAGAGAGAGGACACCAAAAGATGCACCAACCTTTCTAAATCTTTTTCGCTTTCCTTCTCTTCCTGGCCGTTGTCATCCTCTCTTATGCTTATATGTTCCAGCAATTCTCTCTCTGTACTCTTTTCTTCCTCTCGGTGATCATGTAATTGAGAAGAGTTATTACCTCCTTCTTCAACAAATATATCCGTCAAAGGAGGTATATCTACTTTGAAAAAAGGATTATTGTCAACACATGTATATGCACACAAATATTACTCTACAGGGATGAGTAGGAGATCATGTGACCTTTTTCATGTCGTTTACGGCGTAAGGAGGTGTGCACAACATCAGCTCCTGCCTTCTGATATCTCTTAGCGCGCTCTTCATGAAACCACTCACCCGAGAGAGAGCGCAGATGGACAGGGTCTGACACCGTCTGCTGAAGCTTACTGAAAACACAAATATCTTTTATTCCTCCTATAACTTACATGAACCAAAAAAGTCCAGTATTGTACACAGACTGACCGTACTCTCCCTTCCTCTTTGCAGCGTAGTTCAGCATCTCTCAGCAGAACATTGAGAATTACAGTTTGCTCCACCTCAGTCAGGTGACACAGATCTAGTTTAGGTTCCCCTTCCATTTCAGGCACACTTCAGTGTTCTTCACACCTGCTTATTAAAATGAGTTAGATTAGATTTATGAGAAATCACATCTAAGAGTTGCAGATGGAAATGTGGGAACTAAACGAGTTGAATGCACAAATGAGAAAATACAAATTTAACAAAACAATTAAAAAAAAACAATAAAGGTTCTTGAATCAGAAAAGCAATTTAAAATTCAATCAAACTAAAATTAATTTTCAAGCTCCAACCTGCGTTAATGTGTATTTATGCCCTCCAGATGCAATAAAGGGACTTCAATTCATATGGTAGGCATGTGAATAGCCCACTAATGCTCTTTGATATGTTTTTTTTTTTTTGTTGTTGTTTTTAATTTCACAAGGATATGTACACAGTTATATTAATAATAATAACATCAACTTTCTCAGATAATGATTTTCAATGCTTTTTGTTTGTAGGGTTCTTTTTTCACTTTATTTAATAAATTGAATAATTTTTACAGCCCAAAATGTTATCTTTTCTAAATCTTCTGTAGCAATCAGTGGTAATCAATGGTAAACCAAAAAAATAAAAAACTTGATTTCCACACCACCAAATTCACAAGTGTACATAATTAAACTCTTATGCAACAAGAGTTAAATGTGTATAATGGAATATACTTCATTCCTACTTGACTGTAACTGATATACAACGAATTCTGCCTATATTTCCCTATATTGTGCCAAACTATTTTGACAAATAAAGAGATTAAAATCCTGTAGCAGGAAATGACGGTCTCATTTCTAATAGAAGTTTCTGATACCACAAAGCGATGCTTGAGTCGCGCACGCGCAAAACAAACAGCGCAAACAAGCCAAAAGTAAACAAATTGCTTACCACTGCAATGAGGCCAAGTATTTATCTTCTTCCATAAAACACAAGCATAAACTACTATAATGCACTTTAGATCAAGCTGCTAAAGACTTTCGGTTAGTTAAATGATTAACAAACGAGGATAAATGAACAGATGGAGTCGCACCTGTCAAACTCTCCCAATTGCACCCAAAACTCAAACGTGAAAAAGAACGAGAAGAAGAAACTAATGTTTACTTAAACAACAAAATGTAATATCTTTACCTCATCTAATGTCCTCTGGGTATTTCATTGTCGCGGGTTTTCTTTGTCAAGTTTAGCTGTCGGTAGTTTCTAAACACACACTCGTTTGTATCTGGTTTGGCAGGACTGGCACTCACACCCGCCCTCGGGCACAGAGCAAAATACGAACCGGATTCTCACACATCACCGAGTATGCACTTATTTTACTAATTAATTACTTAACGACGTTCACACAGCATGTCTCTCTGCACTCTCTCTCTATCTCTGAACATTTTTGTTGCATGAATATCTGAATATGCAACATATCAAAAGAAAGAAGAGGTCTCGACTATTTCTTGATTCATGGGAAAGTTTAATAAAAAAAAAATAATTAAAAAATAAAAAACGTTTTAAATGTTATGAATGGATTTAGAACGATATCACCAAACCATAGATTTTGGGTTATACATAATATTGTTTGATGATCACTTTATTTTACATGTGCACAAGCAATTGCTAACACAATTATTAATTATTATTATTTTTATTAATAATAATAATAATAATATAATATATAATAATATTGATATTATCATTAATATTATAATTATTATTAATAATTAATTGCATTAATGCTTTTATCACTCACCTGTCTACTTCTTTTTCACTTGTGTTTTGATCCGGAATTGATCCGGAAATCATTGAGGAAAGGGATAACTGAGTTCTATCTTGGCAAATGTAAAGGCCCTTGCCCTTCCACACCAAAAGTTAAATGAATAAGCCTCAGGCTGAAGGAAGAGCAAATTCACAACTGCTATAACCATCATGGGGACAGAAGAATTGTCAATGAATAGGAGAACAAAATAATTTGAAAAAGTAACTCTGATATTTTCTTGTAAATTTAAATGTAATAGATTACTTTACTAGTTACTTTAAAAGTAATCTGATTACATACCTTGCATTACTTGTAATGCGTAACCCCAACACTAGTCATTACTCTGCTAATAGTATAAATACAAGACAAAAATTTTGTCTAGTATTTCTGGAAGTGATTCCTCACTTTGGGGCACATTGGACTACTTGAAATCAATGTTCAAATAGACTTTTGTATAATGTGTGACATGTGGATTTTATGTGAGAATAATGATGTGATGGTAATGACATTAATCACTTTTTGGAGAAAAGTCCATACACGGCTAGGACTTTTTAACACATCAAGTTAAAGCTATAGTTAATTAACTTATGAAACTTATAAAAGCTTATAAAAATATCAAGAAATGGTTCATTTTTGAAGAAATCTTAGCAAGGAGGGTTTTCTAAATGCTTGGCATGATGGTAATGACAGCATATCGAGAAAAGCAGTAATAGAATTTCTTTGTAATAGAATGTAAATACGTTTTCCAAGTTTCCGAACCATTTAATAATGTTTTTTCCTTCTTCATTCTTCACAGAAATGATCCATTTGTTTTCACGTTGTACTCATGTCTGTCAGTGTCAGTTCCGGTTTGGAGTCTCTATCTCCCCACACCTACTAAACACACACTGACACACGTTCAGAGGATGACAAAAACACCGGGCAGACACAGACACTTAGACGCTCATGTTGTACTCAGGCATTGTTCATTGAGCCGTGTAGCGACTGTTTTCGTGCTATTCCTATTTGCTAAGGCTGAAAGCACGTTATCAGGAACATATCAGAATGGACATGATCAATCATGAAGAAAACATTCAAAGTTCAAAAGCTTGCAAATATTATGCCTCGGATAATACACATATTGCATTATGTAAGAAAAATGTTATGTTGAAGCTGCTCCCCTTTTACCTAACCTCTGCTGGTCAGGCAATATTTCTCAAACTGTAATAAAATAGTAATTTAAGTAACATTTTGGGGGTTGGAATGTGTTTATTAAAGGGATTTTTTTTACAAAGCAATGTTTTGCACATTTGTATCACTCAAGACTCTTACAAACATTCAAATACATGTACAAAAATCATATATAAACACAATTATGCACACTCATACAAGCACACACTTCTCAAACAAACATCAGTGACACTTGACTGGCAAATTCAGTATCTTTATACCCCTCCCACTTATTATAACATTAAACCACACAACCAATCACAACCCTGTATCCCTGAGTCCAGCCTCATAGCTCATCATGAGTGACTTCATCTGCCTTGAGTTTAAACTCATCCTCTGTGATTCGTCCATCCTTGTTGCGGTCCTGGTTATCGTACATGTTCTCTATGATGCGCTTCGTATCAAAACCTGGTGCAAGACGACCTTTGCCTTCTTCTACCTGCAGGAGGATGTAATCTGAAAACTGTATGGAAGGAACAGACAATAATAAAATGAACTTAATAAACATTCTGCAGATGTATTGGTGATACACACAGCCAAACGCACAGTTAAAAGCTGTATACCTCAGTGGAGTCCACTTGTGCATCTTTGTTCTTGTCCATCTCACTGAAAAGATCAGGAGAGACATCGTTGTTCCACACAAACATGTAGCCGTCAGGAAGACCCTCCTCCATGTCCACCATTTCAACATCAAACACCAGCACAGCACTGCCAGGGACCTCTCCATCTGAACAAACAAAAATGGCACTTAAAGTCACTATGTTTTGTTGTTATGTTTTTTATGGAACAGTGATTTATCCGTGCACAACATTAGCATATCTTTTCTTAAAGGAGTAGTTCACTTCTTAAAAAAAGTTATGCTGATAATTTACTCACCCCATGTCATCCAAGATGTCCATGTCTTTCTTTCTTCAGTCGAAAAGAAATTAAGGTTTTTGATGAAAATTCCAGGTGAGAATTTGATGAGAATTCCAGGATTTTTCTCCATATAATGGACTTCGATGGGGTCCAAATGGTTCAAGGTCCAAAAGACAGTTTCAGTGCAAACTGCAAACTGTTCTTATCAAGCTCATTTAAAAAAAAGTTTTATAAGCACAAATGCTCGCCTTGCTCTGTTCTGTGATGGGCCTTCGTGACTCTCCTGTTCGAATTCGTTCATTAAAATGAATGAATCTTTTTCCCGAGTCAATTCCTTCATTTCGTTCGGTGAATCAACCAAATATTTGAAAAAAGTTTCATGAAAAGCAATTGTTTCGCTTGATAAGACCCTTATTCATAATCTGGAATCATTTAAAGCCCTTTGAACAGTTTGGAGTTTGCACTGAAACTGTATTTTGGACCATTAACCGTTTGGTTACCAGTAAAGTGCATTATATGGAGAAAAATCCTGGAATGTTTTCATCAAAAACCTTAATTTCTTTTCGACTGAAGAAAGAAAGACATGGACATCTTGAATGACATGGGGGTGAGTAAATTATCAGCAAAAGTTTTCTTTAAAGTGAACTACTCCTTTAATTCAAGTGTCTTCATAATCTTTCATCAAAATAACTTCCCCTCCCTCTTGCAGCATCTCTTCTCTGATGATGTGTTTACTGGAGCGATTGTGGGGCAACCTGTCACTCACATGAGATCGACCAATAGGAACCCACAACCATCCAATCAATTCCCCATAGACAAAATCAAGTCCCGCCCCACATTTTTTCTTCACTTGGATCACAATGGGGAAGAAAAGACTAACGCATTTTCCATTTCACACCATTTTTAAAATACTATATTTAATATTCTGGGAAATATAGAGATTTTAACTGTGACTCAACACAGTTTTTAGGGACCATGTGGATCATCCCCCTAAACAATTAAAACATTAAAATAACATTAGTTGACTTACTAAATGACAGCTAATTCTTTTTTGATATTAGCACACAAATCGTTTTTTTTAGCAGAGTAAGTTTGTAAGAATAATTTCCTTTGCTGGTGTCTGTTGGCTCCCTCTGGTGGTTGCATCACATATTGCAATAAAAAAATCACAAAGCCAAAAGCTACAGTCCGATTCTTAACGAAATGATTCTTAAGAGTCGGTTCTTTTTAGTGAATAAAATTCAGCTCAAACAGTGCACATACTTCGCTACTATAATGTAGGCAAAAAAACAGTATGTGACAAAAGAAGTATGGTATGTTTGAAGTCACAGTACTCATAAAAGAGTATCAGGACTTCCTACGAGATTCTGAAGTGTGCATTTGATGGACACTTTACTATCCTCCCATGAGGCCACGGGAGAGGATTTGTGAATGACAGTGAACTGATGCTGGTAGGTCACATGATAATGCCAACATCATAAATATGGTACGTACAGATTACATTCATTCTACACACATTCATACTGCATAGAACGTACTTTTTAGTTACTTATTCAAAATATGTACCTACCCAAGCCCATGTAGTCCAATTCTACAGTTTGCTCTTTTAATGAATCGTTCAGAAAGCATCACAAATCTACTAATAATGGTATCAGTCGGTCAAGTTCATCAAGAACTCAGAATGACCTTAGTGGAAATAATAATAATGTAAATGTGTGTCTTACCAACTCCCCTCTCTCCATAGGCAAGGTGAGGTGGAATGACTAGGTTGCGCTTCTCTCCAACACACATTCCCATCAGCCCTTGTTCCATGCCTAAAACCACCTGTCCGGATCCCAGAACCACATCATACGTCTTGCCAATAGTGTGCCTGCATTAACACACAGACACAAAGGAAAACATCACTTTAGATAAAAACATTTTTAAAATATAAAACATTCTTTTTGATTCCCAGTTTTCAAGCAACAAGATGACCAAATACTTCAAAAAACGAAATACTATGCGAAACGTGTAATTGCAACGCACGTGGAGCTGATGTTGGTGCCATCCATGAGAGAGGCGTTGTAGTGGTATTTGACAAAATCACCATTTTTTGCATTGTAGGTGCAGTTCTCTGGCTTCACACTGGTGATCACAACTGTATCAGATGGGTTGTGGAAATCAATAATGTGGACATCGAACACCAGCACAGCTGAGCCAGGGATCTTAGTTCCTGTAGGAGCACATAGAAGAGATTCATACAAAGGTAAAAGCTTGTTGTAGTTTGTTAAAGGGATACTCCACCGTTTTTTCCATTATTCCCTTAACTAAGACGAGTTCATACATTCCTCTGTCGTCTCAGTGCGTGCACTCAATCGCTCTGGCGCGAAACACTTTGATAGCACTTAGTTCTTTCAATATGGACCAAGCACCTCCACGTTTTCCCTAATACCACAGCAAGTGATTGGGAGCACTTCGACTCGGCCCATATATCTATGGACTCGGCGCAGTGATATCATCAGTCCGGAGAGTGATCGGGGGAGAGGACTTTTCACGAGTGATGATATTACTATGCCGAGTCGAAGTGCACCCAAGCACTTGCTGTGGTATTCCGCCATACATTATAGTTTTCCACTTTTCCACAGCGTTTTATTTTGTGTCACCGTCCTAGGTCGAGTTACACTACTCGAGTAACTCTATTTAAATAGGGAAAATGTGGAGGTGTTTGGTCGCTTCTCTGCCTGGCGCATGTTGAATGAACTGGGCTAGTTAAGTGCTATCAAAGTGTCTCGCATGCGAGACGAGAGAGGGAATTATTGTTATTAGTTAAGGGAATAACATAGTTTAACATGATAAAACTGTGGAGTATCCCTTTAAAGTGCTCTTATTATGGTATTTTGAAGGTTCTTGGTTTTGTTTTGGAGGTCTCCAACAGTAGGTTTACCAAAAACACCTTTTTTTCGCATACTGTACTATACTATATCAGTGTATGAAACGGTTCGATAAAGGATTTAGTCTCTCTAAACCCGGCTTACCGAGAGCCTGCTCTGCTCTGATTGGTCAGATAGCCCAGTCTGCTGTGATTGGTCGACCACTTACAGAGGATGTTGGAAATGAAACACCAGTACCATATCTGAATTTCAGCTCCTCCTCAGCACTTGATACACAGTGATACGAACAGTAAGAATGGCATCGGTTTTACTGTATCAATTTGACTCCATTCCTTTGGAAATGCATTAAAGAGTATTTGCTTTTGCAGCGCAGAAAACTGTCTTCTTGACATGTGGACAACAGTAACTCCATTTATCGAGCACTTTGCAGACCTGTTACATCCACAAACAGCTGTATTACACACTGCATGAAAGGTAATATCCGAAAAAGCACTTTAAACAATAAAAAGGTAGATCAACACACACCTGTGCCTTCTTCTCCATACGCCAGGTGAGGTGGGATCACAATCCTCCTGCGCTCTCCAACACACACACCCAGGAGTCCTTGGTCCATTCCTGCGATCACATAGCCTTTACCGATGTAAGTGTCATATGTGCGATTCCTTGAATAACTGAAACATAAACACAACTGTAAGCATAAGTGCTCTGAATATCACTTTAAAAAATGAAAGTGTGTAGGGTTTTTACCTGGAGTCAAAAAATGTGCCGTCCAGCAGGGATCCGTTATAATGATACCGCATGAAGTCTCCAACTTGACTTTTGCGTGGACAAGGATCTGGAAGGTATTCCACCTGTACTGTGATTTCATCTTTGGGGTTATGAAGGTCCAGCAGAATCACATCAAACACCAGAGAGGCTTGAGCGGGGATGTCACTTCCTGTGAGAGGAGATAACGATGCTGTGATTCTTCATTTGAATGGACAAATACTGTTAGTTGTGTATATTACGAATAAAAGGACTCTCACCATCCCCGTTCTCTCCATAGCCGAGGAAAGGTGGTATGGTGATGATGCGTTTTTCTCCCACACACATTCCCAAAAGCCCCTGGTCCATTCCCGCAATGAGCCAGCCAATCCCCACGTAAGTGTCATAGGTGCGCATACGTGTGTGACTGCAAATGAAAGAATCAGGAAAAAAATTACATAAATCTTTATTTTAATATTCTTGAAATTTATTACATAAAATAAGCAATGAAAATTGTTTTAAGCTGTTTATAGCTAAATTATAATTATAAATGATGTTATATTTACTTAAAATTGTAATATATTCACATATTTAACATATTCCATTTATTTACATTTGTGCTTTACACAACAGTTCCGCTCCTCAAACGTGATTGGTCAAGCCATGAGCCAAGAGTGCTATTACATATTGCTTTTGTGTGTGGTTTTCTATATTTTTTGATGCCACAGACCCACAAATATACTTTCATACGAGGGACCCCCATCCTAAAATTTAAAGGGCATCTATATTGTTTTATTTTTTTTAGACCCAATTTATACTGAATAAAGTAATATTACAAGTAAGTGTAAAATAATATTTGGAATATATAAAAGAATTTGTCTTACATCATTTTTTAATATTTTATTATTAACCTTTTTTTAATTATTTATTTGAATCTAATCATTATTTATTTAAATAAAACCTTGTTTTAGGCAGACTCATTGTTAACAGCGATTTTTCAGTGTCTATTTCTGCATGTTACAGGATTACACCAATAGGTGGTATTGTGAGTCATAATCTGTATAAGTGAGTCATTTGACTCTTTTACTCCACCGAATCGGTTAACGATTAAATAGGTGTGTTTGAACTGAAGAGGAGCTGTGCAGACCGATCAGTTTATGACATTAAAAAACAGCGAGAGTGACTGCACAGTGCCGCTTCATGTCGAAGACACATATTTAATCATTAACCGATTCGTTCAAAAACACAGAATCATGATTTAGGAACCTTTGCTATATACACTATATGTATATACGTATATCTATTTATTTATTTTTGTGAGGTCCACATGACTCACCTGGAGTCGAACAGCGTGCCATCGAGCAGAGTACCATTGTAGTGGTAACGGATGTAATCAGACACTTCCACAGTGCGGTTACAGCTCTCTGGCTTGAAGTACGTCTTTATCTGCACCTTGTCCTCTGGGTTCCAAATGTCTAACATCAGCACATCAAAGTGAAGGATGGAATCTGCGGGGATGATGTCGCCTGACAGGAAATGACACAAAATACCTTTTGAGGAATAAAATAAATCAAGCTTTGCAGCTTTGAAACCTGGCCATCCATTTAAACCGTCTTTGTGTTTAGTATAAAGACTTCATTATTAGTTTCGTTTGGCAGGGAAAGTGTGTATTGTGAAGCCTATGTTTCACGGGAAGAGCTTTTGTGATGATGAGATATATAATAATATAGTCAAACATCAGAAGATTTTTCAAGGATCACGTTACACTGAAAACTGACTGCTGAAAATTCAGCTTTGCATCGCAGGAATAAATCATATACATTAGTTCATGTATTAATGAATATGAACTAAGACTGAGAAATACATTTATTACGGTACTTATTCTGTTGTTTAAGCAAAATAATTCATTGTTTGTTGTGTGTTAGTTCATAGTGCATTAACTAATGTTACAAAATACAACTTTTGATTTTAATAATGTATTAGTAAATTATGAACTTAACATGAATTAAGATTCCTTATTGTTATTCCTTATTAGATTAACCTTATTGTAAAGTGTTACCAATTACATTTTGAAATACATTAGTAGCTAAAAGTGATGTCTGGAGGGGATTTTTGATAATTTGCTATTAATTACCCTTACAAGTTCGATTAAACCATCAAAATATTTAATATATATATTCTAAATATGTTAAATATGAGGGAAGTACAAAACCCTAAACTTGGTTAAAGTTTTTATCTGATGAAAGCTCAGGAAAAACATAGACTACAACAAAATTATTAATATTTTGTTGTTTCACTTGTTTTGCATGTGTTCATAATTTCTTTGTATGAAAGCCTGGCCAAAAATGATGCTCCCTCAATTTGGCCTGTTTCATTGTGTTATAAAAAAAACACACACACACACACACAAAAACACACACACACACACACACAATTGTCTTTGGTATATGTGCAGTTAATTCTACACATCTGTTTGTGTTTCATGCAGCTGTGAATTGGCCAGACATACACACACCATCTCCACAACTAGTTCTGACAAGCGGACATGGTTCAACATTCCTCTTCGGATCACTCTAGGGAATTCACACCCCCATCCGTTCAACTTCCCCCTTTCTCTCTCTCTCCACCCGAGATCCCATGCTCCCGTGACTCAGCAGGAGTGCAGGAGAATCATGGGAATTGTAGGTTTCTGTAAGTTTGTGCTTATTCACATGCAAATGTGCTGATGGCATCTACACCGACAGACATCTAAATGACAAATAACTGCATTCATGCATGAAGTGGTAAACAGAGAACTGTGATTTGAAAGTGTGTTTACCATAGCCTTCCTTTCCGTAGGCAAGCTGAGGAGGGATTTTGATCATCCATCGTTCATTTACACACATGCCCACTAAAGCTTTGTCCATCCCAGCGATCAACTTCTTCTGGCCAACAAACACATTATATGTGGTGCCACGGTCATAACTGCAAACACACATAAACAAACATGTATTATACCACAAAAATACTTTTCTTAGTAAAACATGTACATGGATATTTATTCTTGAGAAAAATACTTTTATAAGATATTAAGACTTGTTTTTAGAGAATTTATGGGTACACTTTATTTTAAGATGGCGTAGTTACATAGTACTAAGTAATATCAATTAATACATGTATTTACTATAGAGTTACGGTAATGGTTTGGTTTGTTTTAGTTATGCATAATTTACTGTTATTACTTAGTATACATGTAGTAATGTAACTATGTCACCTTAATGTTAGTTAGTTAGTTAGTTAGTTAGTTAGTTAGTTAGTTATAGAATTTACAGTTGGCAAATTTTATTTTATTGCATTAATGTATATCCAACAAATGAGGTTTATGCTTAAAACAATATTTTTAATTTTACTATTTGCCGTTTTATATTCTTTAAAAGGCTTATCTCACAGAACAATTTGTTTACACTGTTCATGCATGTATGCATGTGTGTGTATATATATACATATATATATATATATATATACATACATAAAATATAAATATATAGCCTATGATAAAAATATATTAATATATGATCAGGTCTGTTTTTCCAATTCTTTCACTCATCAAATTCAGTTAAGCAATTTTCTACTTTTTTATAATTTATACAAGATTCATCTAATTGTAAGTCACTTTAATGTAATTTAAGTTGAATTGACTTAAACATCCAAGTTGATTACACTTAAAAATTTTAAACATACAGTGTGTATATATAGATATATACAATGTATATACACATACTATATATACATATAACTTTATTCACACTTTTCATGCAAATGTATCTTTAAAAGATGTAAATTATCTTGCCCATTATTCATTCATTCGTTCACTCACTCACTCATTCATTCAATGACACATTCCTTCCTTGGTTCACTCAGACACGTATTCATTCTTGCATTCATTCTATAGACTACTGCAATTTGCAAACTTAAACTTGTTTTAAATCAATTGTAATTGTTTAGGATGTGCTTTGCAGAAGTAATGTTCACTATGGTAGGCCTAAATGAGCACGTCACGTTAGATCTGCTCTGCCTGCGTGGCTCTAGTAAACCTACAGACGCAAATGGCTTCAGGCCAGGTGAGATGAAGAACAATGCATTTTGAACTAACCTGGAGTCAAACTTCTTTCCATCAGGGAACGTGCCGATATAATGATAACGAACAAAGTCTCCTGACTTGACCAGGCGGTCACAGCGTTCCGGAGTGAACGTCTTCTCAATAACGATGTCATCTAACGGTACCGGCGGCGGGTTGCACGCCACTACCGTTACTAGGATCGCCAGGAGAATCATTTGCACCGTTAATCGTTTCATCTTCCGTTGTTTTAGCTAAGGTCTGGGTTGCTGCGTTCGCGCGCTGCAGCAGACTCTCCTCGATCACTCTCGCGGACTGTAGATGAAACGGGGTGTGTAGACGTGGTGGACGGTCCTCAAACTCACTCTAACTTCTTCTTCTTTTGCCCCCGGTGTCACTTTACATGGGGAACGGGCAGGAAAGAGCTCAGTTTTGCAGTGAAAAGCGGAAACGCAGGCCTGGAGGCTGGAATGTTTTCTACGTGGCACAGAGATGGGCGGCTCGCGCTTTATGAGACTGTAATTATAGAGGGACCACAATGCAGCGCAACAGGCGTTTCAGATCAGACTCTCACATGCACCTCTGTGAAGCAGTTTTTGATAAAATATCAGGAACGATACAAAATACATCTTTTCACTTTAGGAAGTTTCATTTTAAGGGGTTTCCCCACTTGTTTAACCTATTAAATCCCAATCATTAAAAAAAAGAAAAGTGAGCACAACGTACAGAGCAATGAAACAAACGTTTTTCTTTTTTCGTTTCACAAAAGTTAGTGAAATTATGTTTTATTTCTGGTCACAACTGCTGGAAAATGTTTGGCCTATATATTTATAGTCTTTAAGACCAATAGAAGTTGCAAAAAATGTGTGTGTGTGTGTGTGTGTGTGTGTGTGTGTGTGTGTGTGTGTGTGTGTGTGGTCCTGGTTACCATCATTATGTTAATAAAATGTCTGAAATCCTGGGGACATTTTGGGGTCCCCATCAGGAAAACTGCTTATAAATCATAAATAAGTGATGTTGTTTGAAAATGTAAAAATGCGGAAAGTTATCTGTAACGTTAGGTTTAGTGTAAGGGAAGTTTTTACAGTAACATCATTAGTCTATGGAAAGTCCACATAACATGAACAACGTGTGTTTGAGAGTGAGTGTGTGGCTATTTAATTACAGCAGGCAGCAAGACAGTATGTGAAATATGTGTAAAATAAACTCTTTTAGCCCCTAAAGTAAATGTTGGCCACAGATGTTACCGAGATGCATAAATATTTGAATCACTGTAGTGTTTTTAGCTGCATGGGGGAAGGGAGCGCGCTGACGGATTTTGGGGACGTGGAGAGTCTGCGGGCGGGTCTTGTTCTCTCCCACCCCGGCGTACTTTGGGATTCCCATACGGGACCATGGCCTCCTCATCGCACTGCCTGAGGCTCGCATTTCTTCTATTCTGTTTTTCTTTTTGCGTTCTTGCACAGTATGAGAAATACAACTTTCGCAGTTTCCCACGGCACGAGCTCATGCCCCTGGACTCTGCGTACCGACACGCTTTAGACCAGTACAGCGAGGAGAAGTGGCCCGAGAGCGTGGAGTTTCTGGAGGTGAGTCTCCGGCTGTACCGACTGCTCAGGGACAGCGAGGCCTACTGCAACCTGAACTGCAGCACGGTACGACTCGACGACGAGACCCGCTTCAGCGACTTCCCCGAGCTTCACGCGTTCGGTAACGTGATGAGGCGAGCGCAATGTCTGAAGCGATGCAAACAGGGGTTACCTGCCTTCAGACAGACGCTCCCCAGCAGAGAAACCATCGAGGAGTTCGAGAAACGCGAACCCTACAAGTACCTGCAGTTTGCTTACTTTAAAGTAAGTCATTGACGTTCACTCATTGCATCCATTAACAATGCGAGAATGAAGAGGGTTACAAGTTTTGCTTTGTACTGTACCTGTTCCATACATAATTGGACTGTAGAGAATGTAATATATACCCAATGGTATTTAACACATGGTAGTAGCATGTTATCTTGTAGGTTTAGACTGAATCATTCACCATATATCAAAAAACACGGTTTTTTCAAATTACTTTAAAGAATATTACCATGGCACATGAGCAAATATCACTATGATACCAAGTGCATAACATGGTATTACCATTGTTTTTATAATACTTTTGTTTGTAGTAATACCATGGTACCGAATGTTTACCTTATGTAACATGATGATACATTTTCAAACTGCATGGTATTTCAAAGTACTTACTGGAACTGTCTGACCAAATGTATTATATAAATTATTCCAGAGTGAAAATTTGGCCAAAGCTGTATCTGCAGCGCACACTTTCCTGCTGAAGCATCCTGATGACGAGATGATGCAGAGGAACATGAACTATTACAAGAGCTTACCTGGAGCAGAGGAACATATGAAAGACCTGGAGACCAAATCATATGAGGTGAGACTGAGACCCCACACATTTAAGGGGCGATCAAGTCCTCATATTAAAGTCGGCATGAAAAGTAAGTCGCGATAGACTTTTCTATTGTGATGTATATTCAAGTGAATGGCTTGTTGAACACGTCTTTCTTTCTTCAGTCGAAAAGAAATTACTTTTTTGATGAAAACATTCCAATATTTTTCTCCATGTAATGCACTTCAATGGGGTCCAAACGGTTCAAGGTCCAAATCATAGTTTCAGTGCAGCTTCAAAGGGCTTTAAACAACACCATACGATGAATAAGGGTCTTATCTAGCGAAACGATCGGTCATTTAAAAAATAAATAAAAAAGTTTACGTTTTATAAGCACAAATGCTCGTCTTGCTCTGTTCTGTGATGAGCGTTCGTGTCCGTGACTCTCCTGTTCAAACTCGTTCATCAAAATGAACAAATCTTTTTTCAAGTCATGACTTGAAGGGTCCTAGATAAGACCCTTATTCATCGTCTGGTGTTGTTTAAAGCCCTTTGAAGCTGCACTGAAACTCTCAAATTTGGACCTTGAACCGTTTGGACCCCATTGAAGTCCATTATATGGAGAAAATCTTGGAATGCTTTCATCAAAAAACGTAATTTCATTTCGACTGAAGAAAGAAAGACGTGGACATCTTGGATGACATGGGGGTGAGCAAATTATCAGCAAAAGTTTTTTTTAAAAGTGAACTACTCTTTTAAGATCAGCTGCCATTACAGAAATAGGGTGTTAAACCAAATTATCAGAAATACTGAAATTCATGTTAATTTTTAAATTCAACTTTTCATTCAAATATGCTGAAAATATTTTTTATAACGGAATAAAATAAGCATTTTCTTACAAATATGCAAAAATAAACAACTCTAGGGTCAGTAAGATTAATTAATACTTTTATTCAGCAAAGATGCATTAAATATAAAAAATATCAATAAAGACATATCATTTTACAAAAGTTTTCTATAAAAAAAGAAATCTTTCTTTTCATCAAAGAATCATTTATTATGGTTTCCACACAAATATTAAGCTGCACAAATTTTCAACATTGATAATAATAATAATAAATGTTTTAAGCAGAAAATCAGCATATAAGAATGATTTCTGAAGGATCATATGACAGTGAAAACTGAAGTACCGATGCTAAAATTAAATTGCAATAATTTACAATATTACTGTCAGATAAATTCATATAAATGCAGCCTTGGTGATCGAAAGAGACTTTCAAAAACATTTAAAAATGTCACAAACCCAATGCTTTTAAACAGTAAAATGCATATCTAAAAAAATATATTATATATGTGCAATCCAAGCTCAGGGAAATGCACACGATTGTGATACGCCTCTTGAATGTAATAAGTGTTGCTTCATGGTTCTTCTCCTCCAGTCTCTGTTCATTCGGGCTGTGCGGGCGTATAACGGAGACAACTTCAGAACGTCAGTGTCAGATATGGAGTTGGCAATGAGAGACTTCTTCAAGGTGTATGATGAGTGCATCGCAGCATCAGAGGGATCCAGACAGATCAGAGACTTTAAAGACTTTTATCCGTCCATTGCAGGTTTGCTCTCGTCATCTCTGCCCTCGCCATCGCTCAGCGGAACCGCTTTACACTGTTTCTCTTTCTTTAGATCATTACACCGAGGTTCTGGAGAGGAAGGTTCGCTGTGAGAGCGAGCTCACGCCGGTCGTCGGTGGATTTGTTGTTGACAAATTTGTGGCAACCATGTACCACTATCTCCAGTTTGCTTATTATAAACGTAAGTCTGGAAAGTCCTCTATTTAACTATATGTGTGTGGCGTCTTGTTTACTCACATACACTACGTCATTACACTCGTGAACACAACAATATGTGAACCATGAATGTGAAAAACTGAAACACATTCTACCATTCAAAACTTTGGGGTTGGTAAGAATATTTAATGTTTTTAATGAAAGATGTCGTTAAGACTGCATTTATTTGACCCAAGACATACAGTGAAACAGTAATATTGTGATATATAATCACAGATATTATATTTTGGCAACACAATAAGGTTTTATTTGTTAACGCTAGTTATCATGAACAACAATAAAAATACTTTTACCTCAGTTATTAATAATAGCTAATGTTAATTTCAACATTTAATAATATATTTTTAAGATCAAATGTTGTATCTGTTGTAGGGCTGTTAAACGATTAATCGTGATGAATCGCGTATTTTATCCAAAATAAAAGTTTGTGTTTACATAATATATGTGTGTGTAGTAGTGTGTATAATTATTTTATATATATAAATACACACATGCTTGTATATATTTAAGAAATATTTTCATGTATATACTGTATATAGATTTATATATAATTTATATTATATATAAATATAAATAATTTATACATAAATATTTTTTCTTAAATATACATGCATGTGTGTGTGTGTGTGTGTATATATATATATATATATATATATATATATACAAAAATACACACTACACACACATAAATTATGTAAACACAAACTTTTATTTTGGATGCGATTAATCGCGATTACTCGTTTGACAGCCATAAATTAGTAAATGCACTGTGAACTAACATGAACATTTTATTCCTGTGATCAAAGCTGGATTTCCAACATCATTACTCCAGTCATCAGTGTCACATGATCCTTCAGAAATCATTCTAAGATGATGATTTGCTGCTTAAAAATATTTCTTTTTTTTAGGATTCTTTAATTAATAAAAAGTTCAAAAGCATTTACTTTAAAATATAATTTTTTGTAACATTATAAAATGGATTATAAATGTATCTACCATCACTTTTGATCAACGAAATGCATTCTTGCTGAATTTAAGGATTCGTATTATTTTTATAAAACCTTACTAACCCCAAACTTTTGATAGACAGTCTGTGTGTGTGTGTGTGTATATAAATGTTTCTCTCCTTCATTCTCGTTCAGTGAATGATCTGAAGAACGCAGTGCCGTGTGTGTCCAGCTATATGCTCTTTGACCCCAGTGATGAGGTGATGAAGAATAATGTGGAGTATTATCGTTACCACAAAGAGAAATTTGGCCTCAGTGATGAGGACTTCTT